GCAGACACAACTAAGTTCTGCTATCAATGGAACTACCTACTATCGCCGATATGTTGATGACACATTTGTTGTTTGCAACGATATGGATCACGCATCGGCACTATATGATCGCCTAAATGAGATACATCCAAATATCAAATTCACCATGGAATATGAACATAATAATGAGTTCAATTTCCTGGATCTAAATATAAAAAGAACAAACGAAGGCACGGTCGAAAAGTCCATCTATAGAAAAGAAACCTGGACTGGACAATATCTTCACTATAACAGCTTTTGTCCCATAAGCTATAAACGTGGATTAGTGAGGACTTTGTATGACAGAGCCAGAAAGCTATGTTCACCAAACAGGGTCGAAGAAGAATTAGTTTTCGTCGAGAAATGCCTAAGGGAAAATGGATACCCTAAGGGATTTATTCAGAAGTACAGCAGAGAAAAAGATGAGAAAGAAAAGCATCCAACTGTAGAAAAGAAAAAAGTGTTTATCTGTCTACCATACAAAGGAGATGCAGTGTCACAAAAGATTGAAAAAAGACTGAAAGGTGCAATAAATAGAAACCTCCCAGCAGCAAAACTCATAACAGTATACAGCACCACTCCTTCTTTAATCCACTCAAAACTGGATAAATACCCTGCTGATGTCACCTCCAACTGCGTTTATGAATTCATGTGCACTTGCGGGAGCAAGTACATTGGAAGGACAGAAAGAAGGGCTTCTATCCGGTTTTCTGAACATATTCCCAAAAACCTGTGCCTGAAAGGAAGCAGATATTCCCAGAGTGCAATTACCAGACACATTATTGATACCGGACATCTCGTAGAGATTTCTAAGTCCTTCAAAATATTAAATAAACAAAGGACAGCAAATTTACTACGATTTGCCGAAGCAATCGCAATCAAAAGACTTAAACCAGACTTATGCATACAGAAAGAGAGTGTGATTAACCTCTCACTCCCTTGGTAACAGAATTTTGATTTTGATTAGTCATCTAATTCAGTGATCTCAACTCACTGAACAAATCTTAATCTCATAAACTGTAACCGTTTTTTGTTTCTTGAGTTGCTATTTGAACCTAAAAGCTAACACTGTTCTGTTAATCAATTTTTTCTGTTTTCTCTCTTAACCCTCCCCCTCTTTTCAACTTTAAAAGCGTATAAATTGATGATGAAAACTTAAACTAAAAACATTGTAATGCTTTCATTTAGATGCGTCAATTTTATAGTATCTCTTTTCTACCACCACTCGAACATTAAAGTATGTTATAATCATCTATATAACCATTGTAATTTCAGGTAGTCTGCAGCTGATGAGAACCTGTGAAATACAATGATATCATTTTATACTGCGAATTTCGTCTTCTATTCTTTATCGAAATTTATGAAGGGAACCAAATGTATGAATTTTTTGAAAAGACGCCTCCCTGCCCCAACCATTAAGTCACTGAATCAGGTGGTGACCATACGATGCAGAATATCTAAAGAATCAACAAAGATCAGGTTCTATGAACAGTGTTTGCAAACTGGTTGTTTCCCACGGCATTTCCTGAAACAAGTGCGATCCGCTAAACTCTCACCTTCTCAAAAGATTCTCCGTCGAATAACTAAATCTCACATCGAATCGTCATACCTGTATATCTCCGAATTGAAATCTCGTCTGGCTACCTATGATGCCCTACTAAGTGAGCTTAATATTATCTGCTGGCTTAAATTCATGAACTTTATCAAAGAGCTACAATCAAAAACATCCGAGGATTATGAAACTCAGCTGACAAAAGCGTTGGTGAAAGAGAAGCTAATTGAAGAATTCCCAGAAGCACCTGAACGCTACGTTTGTAACCTATCAAAATTACAATTAAACAAAATCGAATTAGAAGCCTTATCTCTAGGATTCAAGTTTCACGTCACCAAGAAGCACATCAGTCGTATAGACACAGAAGCACAATTCGAGCACTTATACCATCAACTCTACGACCTGAAGCCCTTAGACGAAGATAAAAGAGGATGGCTAAAGTCTAAACTTGTTGATATTGCTAACCAATACCACGTATCACCAATGGAGAAGCAGAAGATGCTGACTGAAGAGCATAGAATAGCTCTGAAGAAACTATATGAAAACGATGAAATCGTCATATTTAGACCTGACAAAGGCTCTGGGGTTGTTATAATGAACAAAGCTGATTATATACATAAAACGATGACAATTCTAAACGACAAAGAAAAATTCCAAGTAGACAACAAAAAAGATGCCACGACGTCATTTGAAAATAAAGTTAATAAATGTCTCAAAGAACTTCTAATGAAGAAACTAATTAACAGCGAAATATATAATAAACTGAAGTCAAAAGGTGGACGCCTGCCGTCTATGTACGGCCTACCAAAAATTCATAAAGCAAATGTGCCATTAAGACCAATCCTGTCAATGATTGACTCACCATGCCACAAGCTAGCTCGATGGTTAGCTGATTCTATAGAGCCCATTCGAATTAAATTTGCAACCCACAGCCTGAAGGATAGTTATCAATTTTCCAAGGAGGTTGACAATATCGACATATCAGACAAACTCATGGTTTCGTATGACGTGACCTCCTTGTTTACAAATGTACCACTGATGGAAACAATTGATATAATTTGTAAACAAACGGATCTAATACCATTACCGGAAACAGAGATGAAGCGACTTCTACTGCTCTGCACAAAAGATATACAATTCAAATTCAACAATCAACTTTACCGACAAACCGATGGGGTAAAAAAAAAATCGCCTCTGGGACCTATCCTGACTGATATCTTCATGGGCTACCTTGAGCAGACACAACTAAGTTCTGCTATCAATGGAACTACCTACTATCGCCGATATGTTGATGACACATTTGTTGTTTGCAACGATATGGATCACGCATCGGCACTATATGATCGCCTAAATGAGATACATCCAAATATCAAATTCACCATGGAATATGAACATAATAATGAGTTCAATTTCCTGGATCTAAATATAAAAAGAACAAACGAAGGCACGGTCGAAAAGTCCATCTATAGAAAAGAAACCTGGACTGGACAATATCTTCACTATAACAGCTTTTGTCCCATAAGCTATAAACGTGGATTAGTGAGGACTTTGTATGACAGAGCCAGAAAGCTATGTTCACCAAACAGGGTCGAAGAAGAATTAGTTTTCGTCGAGAAATGCCTAAGGGAAAATGGATACCCTAAGGGATTTATTCAGAAGTACAGCAGAGAAAAAGATGAGAAAGAAAAGCATCCAACTGTAGAAAAGAAAAAAGTGTTTATCTGTCTACCATACAAAGGAGATGCAGTGTCACAAAAGATTGAAAAAAGACTGAAAGGTGCAATAAATAGAAACCTCCCAGCAGCAAAACTCATAACAGTATACAGCACCACTCCTTCTTTAATCCACTCAAAACTGGATAAATACCCTGCTGATGTCACCTCCAACTGCGTTTATGAATTCACGTGCACTTGCGGGAGCAAGTACATTGGAAGGACAGAAAGAAGGGCTTCTATCCGGTTTTCTGAACATATTCCCAAAAACCTGTGCCTGAAAGGAAGCAGATATTCCCAGAGTGCAATTACCAGACACATTATTGATACCGGACATCTCGTAGAGATTTCTAAGTCCTTCAAAATATTAAATAAACAAAGGACAGCAAATTTACTACGATTTGCCGAAGCAATCGCAATCAAAAGACTTAAACCAGACTTATGCATACAGAAAGAGAGTGTGATTAACCTCTCACTCCCTTGGTAACAGAATTTTGATTTTGATTAGTCATCTAATTCAGTGATCTCAACTCACTGAACAAATCTTAATCTCATAAACTGTAACCGTTTTTTGTTTCTTGAGTTGCTATTTGAACCTAAAAGCTAACACTGTTCTGTTAATCAATTTTTTCTGTTTTCTCTCTTAACCCTCCCCCTCTTTTCAACTTTAAAAGCGTATAAATTGATGATGAAAACTTAAACTAAAAACATTGTAATGCTTTCATTTAGATGCGTCAATTTTATAGTATCTCTTTTCTACCACCACTCGAACATTAAAGTATGTTATAATCATCTATATAACCATTGTAATTTCAGGTAGTCTGCAGCTGATGAGAACCTGTGAAATACAATGATATCATTTTATACTGCGAATTTCGTCTTCTATTCTTTATCGAAATTTATGAAGGGAACCAAATGTATGAATTTTTTGAAAAGACGCCTCCCTGCCCCAACCATTAAGTCACTGAATCAGGTGGTGACCATACGATGCAGAATATCTAAAGAATCAACAAAGATCAGGTTCTATGAACAGTGTTTGCAAACTGGTTGTTTCCCACGGCATTTCCTGAAACAAGTGCGATCCGCTAAACTCTCACCTTCTCAAAAGATTCTCCGTCGAATAACTAAATCTCACATCGAATCGTCATACCTGTATATCTCCGAATTGAAATCTCGTCTGGCTACCTATGATGCCCTACTAAGTGAGCTTAATATTATCTGCTGGCTTAAATTCATGAACTTTATCAAAGAGCTACAATCAAAAACATCCGAGGATTATGAAACTCAGCTGACAAAAGCGCTGGTGAAAGAGAAGCTAATTGAAGAATTCCCAGAAGCACCTGAACGCTACGTTTGTAACCTATCAAAATTACAATTAAACAAAATCGAATTAGAAGCCTTATCTCTAGGATTCAAGTTTCACGTCACCAAGAAGCACATCAGTCGTATAGACACAGAAGCACAATTCAAGCAGTTAGAATCAGATTTTAGGGAGGTTTTAAGTGTTGTACTGACTTAGGGTAGACCTTAATAATGAACGCTCTTAGAAATCTTCACCGTTTTATGCCCTTAGCTGTACTCTACCTGACGTGTAAGTATTGATGAACGAAATCAGATTAAAAAGTCTTGATATGATAAATGTTTCTGGACAGAGTTATATTTTATACAAATGAGATATGAAACTTGATAAACAAAGAGTTTATCCAACTTATCTGGTGCCTTGATTGATGGTAGGCTCTGAGAGTGCACTGAATGAAAGCACAACAGGAGAGCGAACCGAATGTGTACAGCAGAGTTAAAACTCAAAAGATGCAGAAGTGCCAAACGAGTGGGTGGGTGAGTGAATTCAAACAAAAGTTTAAGGGTCCGATATGCACTACAAGGTCATCGAACTCAACAGTAGTTTAGCTTATCATTCATACTTGGAGACATATCAATAGATATGAATATCAACTACATATATGAACATTATCCGCTTACTGGTGGTAATAGATTTAAAATGTGATTTGTGTTATCAACAAATTGTATTTATTTATTTATCAGTTTTCAAGATAATAATAATCATAAATAGTGGATAAATGAGAAAGTATTCAGGGAAATGAGATCAGATGATATATACAAATACACAGACAAAAAAGAATAGTGATCAGATCACATGAACTCTCTCAATGGGTCCCAGCATTTATTTGTAAAATCCTCTTCTTCATCGTCATCATCGTCGTCATCATCATCTTCATCGCCTGCTTCTCCTGAATCGTCACCGACAGATAAATCAGAAACTTGAACTTCTGCATCATCTTCTTCATCATCTTCTGCCTCCACTTCTGGATTGTCATCTGCACCAAATAGACAACGAGTTAAATTACCATGACGCATTTTCTTATAAGTCACATCATTACTGTCATATTTACACGATTCATATCTATCACGTCTAGAGTCATAAAGTAACTCTCGAGTACGTTCTGCGTCGGCATAATCATAACCTTCCGGACAAGTGTTCCATTCTTTATTTTCAGTATCTTCACTATCTTGGAGCCACCAACCACTAGTTGGTTCGGGATCTGAATGAATGGCTGGAGATACAGATAAGCGATTCGATCTATTCTGATGGTGATGATGATGATGATGATTACGTGACGATCTAGGAAACCACTGTCTATGAGTTTGAAGATTCAGCTTTGTAGCATCACGTATTTGTTCCTCAGGACTCCAACCCTAAAATAAAGTCATAAAACATATGGATTGTAAAATTAGAAAGTGGATAGTCACTTTTAGAGTAAAATGTGATTATTTTAAAAACAATAAGCAAGTTGGAAATATCACTTCAATATTACCGCCAAAAACATCCACCATCAAAGCTATAATTTTTGTTTCCCTGTCTATTCATCAAAAGATCTACAATGAACAGAAATGTATGGGGGAAAGAATAACTATGTGGAAAGACATGAGGACTTGATGGATCTGGGAGACTACAAAGAGTGAGAACGAGACTTTGAGTAATATCACCAACAGTCTGCTCTGTCATTTTGTGTCAAGAGACACAGCCACATAGTCAAGCTAACCATCTAACTTAATCCTGTGTTAGCTAATATTATTCAACGAGGAAGGTTTTCCTTCTTTAACCAACACATCTTCAAAAAAAGCTCAGTATCATCACTCACCCCATATTAAACCACTCAACATGTGAAGAGAATTTGCATACACACAATACACGATGTCTAACCACTCTTTTCACATTTTACACAAAAAATTAAAACCCAGAAAGAGTCATCTGCTCTTTCATCACTTTACCTTTGGATAATCTGCGTCATATGAATCACAATCACTATCTGATTCTGAAAGGGAGCCATCATTGTTACCTGGAGTGATTTGTCTGAATGATTCAAACACTAAATCATCACAGGATCGTCGACGTCTATCTTCTCTACGAAAACATTGATCTAGACGACGTATTTTACGATCAATTTTTGCCGTTTCTGTAGGCGATGCTCGATGACGTCTTCGAACTAATAACTCCCGTTGTACCTTTCGAAAATAAGGTGTTATTGAAAAAATATATATAAGCAATGTGCTAAAGTTATGCAGTGATAGAGGGTACCGACTCAGTAATAAAAACAGACAAATAATAAATTATTATTATTATTTCCTTTAATTGCTAGGGGAACATAGGGCTTCAGCCGCGCGTCTCCATTGCGTTCGGCTTTCTTCCAACGTTTTCACCCCACTCCAAGTCTGCCCGCACGCTTTCATCTTCTCTTCACATGACCTCCCTCCAAGTCACCCTTGGACAAATAATAAAACAGGGCACGAAATACAGTAAATGGGAGATTTTGTCCCTTTAGAGACCTTTCAATCAGTTATACCTGCATCCCTACCGAATGAGTAATTGTATTCCTACTGCGACTCAAACCCTGTAACCCAGTAACAAACGTTAAAAGCATTATCCACTGCAATCGCCTCTTTTTTAACGGGCATTTTATCCAATCCTCTAGGTTTTTAGTGGAATATAGAGCTCCAGACAGGAAGTTTCAGTAACCATGTTGTTTTTACTTGGTTTGGTTGCTAGTCTCAAGCCTAAGTCTCTTACACAGACTTACTATCGGCTAATAAACTAGGTGACGTCTAGAAGAATTTGAATAAAACAAGAACAACAGTTTTCGCAGAATTATCGGTGAGGAATCAAACCCCGTGACACACACGTGCATGGTTGGCTAGCATCCTACCACCAAACCGCCTATTTTCTAACGGGTATAATTTGAAACTATCTATTCATGCTCTTTGTTTCTCACTGATACATATATTTAAGCGAACTAACCAGCAGTACATTTTTATATATAGACTCATTGAACCGATGCATCGATATAACCAATAGTCTCTGTGAGAACATCAAATACATATGCAACTGAATGAATCCTAAACAAGAGAAAGAAATACAAATCAAGCATTCTGCTGCTATGTACCACAAATTTGTGCAAATGAATTTCAGACATGAGATAGTTTATCGGAGTAATTAAAAAACTGAAAAGCCTACCATCCACAACTTGAACTACACATACATAAGTAAGTTAACCGAATGAATAATAATAACAGTAAAATTACTACATAATGATTCCAGGAAACTCGCAACAACTATGGTTTGGATATTCGCAATATAATATTATGGCAATAATGGTACTAACAACCCAAAACGGGTAAAAATTGTGATGTACTATGAATATATATGTAAATTATCATCAGTATCAAAATATACAAAGAAAGTAAAAATGAAAGAAATGTCGTCCCATGTATATATATATATATATATATATATATATATATATATATATATATATATATATATATATGTTCAATTCACCTGCCAGTATAGTGTTCTACGATCAGAATCTATAGGATTCTTCGATAGTTGAATAGTTCTACACTTTGAACTGTGTGGTTTATGCATCTGCGTCAGTTGTATAGATTGTTTATCAAGAATTGAAGTCTGATTGTTATCAAATGATGAATCATCACTGGACGATGAATCATCGAAACTACCAACAGCAGGATCATAAATCTCAGCTTCTCTAGGCAATGAACAGGCTCGTTCAGTTTCCTCCTCAAGAACAGCATCTTCGATTTCTGCGAGCATTTGACCAGTTGCCTAATGTTGTTGTTGCCGTTGGGTTTTTTTTTCAATGAAAAAACAAATATACATATAAGACAAATATTTTTGTTTATTTGCTCCCAACGAAAAAAATTACAAAATTAAACAATATACAAAAAACAGCTCTTTCAGGGAACTAAACCCACACCACCAGTGCGTCGGTGATATAGCGGTTAGGACGCTCGCCGACCAAGCACATGGTCCACCCGCTCCCGCCAAATGCAAGATGATGTTACAGGACTGGACTACATCGACGCCTAGTTTAAAAATAGGAAGTGAAGTGGTAGAGCACGTTGACCGCTTCTCTTATTTGGGAAGTATCATCAGCCCCAACGCCAACGGGTTGATCTCTGACGAAATCTCAGCACGAATACAGGGGGCTCGTTTCACATTTGCCAGTTTACTGCGTCTCAGGCTTAGTAGACGAGAAATCCGGCTATCGACCAAAGGGTGTGTATACTGCTCATCCGTCCGCCCCATCCTCCTTTATGACGGGCTGTGAGACCTGGCCATTGAGAGTGAAAGACATGAAAAGATTAGCTGCCTTTGATCACAGGTGCCTGCGTTCTATTTCCCGTGTGTGCTAAGTGGCATAATAAGGTGAGTAATATTGAGGTTAAGCGTCGGTCGAGTGCTAGATAAGGTAGGAGGGGGAAATCAATCGACGAAGTTATGAAGTTACAAAGACTGAGATGGTTAGGACATGTGTTACTCATGTATGCCTAGTCATCGCCTTCTTCGACCGACGAGCAATGTTAGCGGATATAGGGTCAGGCTGGAAAAAAGCTAGCCAGTTGTGGTCAAACCAAAACATGGCTTCACTAGTCAATGAAATCTACTACAGTTAGTCTAAGCCAGCTAGTCACGTAGAAAGGTGTAGACTGGCTTCCTGACTGGTTGGGGTCCTCGGGACGGTAAGAACAAATGGTTGGAAACAATTGGTGACATGGCTCAAAATCGTTCTCGGTAATGGCTGGCGCAGATGCATCCACTCCTTGTGATTTATGATTTCCAATGAAACTGTGTGTTTTGTTCTTCGCTACTACTATTTCCTTTGTCTCACACCTCTGCTTACTGTCCCTCTATTATGCTTTTCTTGTACTTTCTTCTCTTGCTATGTGTGCTACAAGGAGGGAGTGTGGCGACTTGAACTAGCGCACATATGTGCAAAGTTCTATGTCGTAAAACAGACAGACATGGTCCGGGGCTCGATTCCAGGCCACCGACGAGGCACTCCTTTACCTCGCCACGCCAGAAATAATCCTGGTAAAGAGGGAAGCTTGGGCATTAGGCTAGCAACCCCATCCTGTAAAATAATAAACACCACTGATACAGAAACTTCAAGCCACTAGCTTGAAGGTGCCCTATGTTCCACTGGGGAACGTGAAGGAAAAATAATAAATAAACCCAAACCACACTGTTCAGCACTGAAGTGTCTGGGGCAGAGTTACTATGACTGCAGTGTGTATGAATGACTTGTATGTCCCATTCCTCTCCGCCTGTACCTTTGTCCCGTGAGAACACTTGGCTAGGAAGACAATATAATGTAGTAGTAAAGCAATGTTGATTTATCACCTATTCAAATTAAATCTGTATGAAACCAAAGCTGATTGAAATCAGATTTACATTTCACAGTCAGTAAAGCCAAAAGTCAGTGATTCATGTCTTTTTGCAAATCCAACTCATATGTTATTATTGCTCGAATTATACTCGTGTATTGCTGATAACTGTGATGGCCTTAAATGTTGTACGGTTTTTTTCGCAAGGATCTAACACTTCACTCGTTGATATGAAAATCAACAGCACAAGATCTTAAATATTTGAACCAATGTCGAGCCACTGGGTGTTTCTATGTACCTCAGACAGTGGACGATAACTGTCTTCGCTGCTTCGATAGTGAAGATAAGATGACTGATCGGAAAGGATAAGTAACAAGGAACTCTGCCAGCCAACCAGCGCTTACAATGTGCTTACCTAACAAATATGTAGAAGAAAATGGAGATGGATAAATTTGACACACACTGAAGAGACAATTGTGTCCTAAGGTGATATGGAGAAGATTATGCGAACAGGAAAGGAAAGCTTGACATCAAGCCTGACATAGGGCTAGGTTGGAAAAGAGCCAGTGGTGGTCAAAACAAACTATGGCTTCATCATCAGTCAATGAAATGCCCAACAGTTAGTTTCAGTCAATCACGTAGGAAGGTGTAGACTTCCTGGTTGGGGTCCTCGGGACGGTGAACACCAATCGCTGGGAACAACTGGTGATAAGTTTCAAAATCCTCGTTCTAATAAAACAATAGTTCTTCTTCCACATTACTATTCGTTTCCCCCTCACACATTTCTATTCATTATCTTTATTCTATTCTTTTGCTTTGCTTGCTAAGTGGAGAATGGCAACTCAAACTGTTGCACACACATTTGTGCAAAGTTCTATGTTGAAACCAGTCAATCATTCTAATTTCAAAAAAAAAAAAAAAGAAATTCAATTTAAAAGTGAAAAAGTATGAGAGTAAAAGGTACAACTCTTCCTACATCTGGAGGTAAATGCATTAAAGGATTATCAGCCAACACTAGTCTTGTTGGAGGTGGCAAATAGTTGTTGAGTTGAGCCTTCAATTGCTCTGCTTCATTTGTTCCATTCTTCATTAAATCTGATAGTCCCATTTCATCATTGTCTTCTGTGTATTGTTGCATCAACTCATCATATTTTTCCTCCTCATCTACTGCTTCTTCCTCTTCTAATTCAGTACAATTCTCTGTAGTACACTCATCGAAGTCTTGATCACCTTCGTCTTTAATTTCATCAGCTTGATGAAAATTGTCCTCACTCCAAAGAAAACAGTTTGAAATATCAATTTGACAGGTGACATTCGAATCAGCAGGGGAAGACAACTGTTCAAATGAACAGTCCGTTAGTGGAATTTCTTTTGAAGTACTTTCATTCATTTTGATTTGTTTCATCGATGAATTTTGTTGTTGTTGTTGCTTATCATCTAATTCGACAGAAGAATCTGATTTTAATGATGGAGATGAAGAGGACGAAGAACTCTCATTTCCAGATACCTCTTCTTCTTGGTCATTATTTGTAGGAGGCGTTGGACCTGGACAAAAAAATAATAAAAGGGGTGTATTCAGTGAATTGGATAAAAATGGTGTACTGATTGAATTTTTAATGTAGAACTTTGCACAAATGTGCAGCATTTGAAGTTGCCACATTCCAAAACTAGCACACAAAGAGAGAGAGAGAAAAGAAATACAAATTCAAAGGAGTTATAATGAACGGGAAACTGATTTTAATGTTTTGGTTCAACGACTCCTAAATCTTTTCCCACCCAATCCTACACATCAGCTATTATTGCTCGATGAGGAAGACAATGTCTTGGCCATCTCAGTCAATGCAGTCTCACAACCTCATAGACTAATTCCCCCCCCCCACCCCTTAAGCCCACACACTCTACCTCTAAACTCACTTTTATTCACTATTTTATAAGACAGAAAGTCAACACCTATCGTCAAAGACAGTCAATCTCTTTATATCTTCTACCTCCAACAACCGACCGTGTTTCACAGCCACAAAGATAGACGGTGTGTATTTCTTTCAGGTAGGAGATATTTACTGATGACGTACAACAAAATGCTTTCTGTCACTATAGCTAGGTAAGTATGCAATGCCGTCAGAAGGCGAGATTGAAATTTTCGAATATCTCTTAATCTATGGTGGTTTATATTATGAAAGAAGTGAACTTACAGGAACACAAAGATTTTTCGTTATAATTCCCATAATCCACCTCGACGTGAGTAAAGCTTTAATCATAACTATAGAATGTTGTTTAATAAAAAGGCGAATTAACTGATGACTATGCTGAATGTTGTTTATAACTACCCACCATCCACTCTCTAATAATCAACGTTAACTTGGCTTTTTTTAGTTCCTTGAGTTACGAGTGTAAAACAGGGCTTCAAGCAGCCTTGAAATTTCAGTGCCAGTAGTGCTGTTTTCATGGAGTAGGGTTGCAAGCCATACAATCAAACTTCACTGTTTTCCGGGGATTACTACCAGTTAGCAGGAATACGTGAAATTGAGTGTGTAGTAACGGAATGAAATTCAAACCTCTTGTGTAGCTGGTGAATATTCTATTATTGAATCACCCACAAACTACGGTTGCTTCGTTTCTTGGTTGACAACTCTTACCATACGACACATATCACTAGGGTAAAACTGTAAAGGATCGAAAGCAATTTAGAATAGCTTTGTGCTTATTTGTAAATGTTCATACATAATTATTATTTGATCCACAAAATCACCGTCATTGGTTAAATTCTGTTTTATATATAAATCTATGTAAATTAGAGTAAAGCCTGAAGAAGATCTAATTGAAAACGACAATATTGTTCGCTTATACTGTCTTGTTCTAATGTTCATACAGTTACACACTTAATTCATTCATAAATCAATGGGTTATACTGGCTTGTCTATTCACTTTCTAATTTTATTATAATAATAGCATCATTCTAAACAGTACTTTTGGTCTGTCTGTCTGTCTGGATTCAACATAGAACTTGGCACCGAAGTGCAGCAGTTCGAGTTGCCACGTTCCAAATAGCACACAAAGGTAGACAAGAAGATGAGTGAAGAGAATCAATAGAGTTTGACAAGTATAAGAGTGAAACAGAATGGGTAATGGTAGAAAGGAATATGAAAGATTACAGAGACTGAATACATCTGCGCTGGCCATTGACAACGATTTTGAGCCATGTCACCTATTGTCTCCAGCCATTGATTCCTAGAGTCCCGAGGGCCCCAACCCGGAAGTCTGCATCTCCCTACCTGACTCAGTTTAACTGTCAAGGATTTCATGGATTGATGCCATGTTTTTGTTTGGCCACCACTGGCTCTTTTCCAACCTGAACCTATATCAGCTAGCAATGCCCGTCGGGGGAGGCGGTGGTTAGGCATGCGCAGCACGTGACCTAGCCATCTTAGTCTATGTAACTTTATAGCCTCGTCGATTGATTTTCCCTCTTTGCCCAACACTCTACGCCTAACGTCAACATTACTTACCTTATTAAACCACCTAACGTGAGACAGAGATCGCAGACATCTATGATCGAAAGCAGTCAACCTTTTCATGTCTTCAACGCGTATTGGCCATGTTTCAGAGCCATAGAGAAGGACGGAGCGAACTGATGAGCAGTACACACGTCCCTTGGTTGATAACCGGATGTCACGCCTACGCCAGAGATGGTGTAAGTCAGCGAAAGCAGCTCGAGCTTTTCGGATCCGTGCTGAGATTTCATCGCCAATCAGTCCGTTGGTGCTAATACAACTTCCCAAATAGGTGAAGTGGTCAACATGTTCTATCACTTCACTCCCTATCACTAAGTTAGGAGTTGACGTGGTCCAGTCCTGTAGCAGCATCTTACATTTTGCAGGGGCGAATCGCATGCCAAACATACGAAGATTGCTGCTCAAGGTGTTCAGAAGACTCTGCATTTTGTCAGCATCCTCCCCTAACAGGACTATGTCATCTGCATATTCTAAGTCCATAAGACTATTCCCTGGTAACAAGTCGATTCCTAAGTCACTACGTTCAGTTAAGGATACTTCCATCAGCATATCTATGATGAAGTTAAACAGAAATGGGGAAAGTGGACATCCCTGTCGGACACCACTGGTTGTTACCAATTCAGATGACAATTCCCCATAAGCCCTTACACGACTACGTGAGTTTGAATAGAGTGCCTTGATTAGTGCAATGTACTTTCTTGGCACTCCCTTCACAGTCAGACATTGCCATAGTACCTTTCGATCCACGGAGTCGAAGGCCGCCTTCAAGTCAAGAAATATGACAATTGTTGGACGCCGAAAAGTGTGTCTATGTTCTAGAATCTGTCGAAGAGTGAAGATATGATCTATGCACCCTCTACCTGGTCTAAAGCCTGCTTGATTTTCCCTTGTCTGTTCCTCCCGAGTTCTGCTTAGTCTATGCATGATTACTGAGCCTAGGATTTTAGAGACTATGTTCGTTAGGCTGATCCCCCTATGATTATCACACGAGGACTTGTTTCCCTTCTTGAATATCGGTATAATAAGTGACTTACCCCAGTCTGATGGACTGTCTCTGATTCCCAGACTTTGCCTAGTACCTCAGTTAATCTACAAACTAGTATGTCACCCCCATATTTAAACACCTCCGGAATAATTCCGTCGGGTCCTGCCGCTTTGCCTCGTTTCAAATTACTGATAGCTTTTGTAACCTCACCTACAGACGGCGGACCAGTGTCTATATCCCATTCGGGTACGTGGTGGATGGCGGGGAGGTTCAGTGTGGCTGTAGGCAAGTTAAATTGTTCCTCAAAGTGTTCTTTCCAGCGTTCAAGGCGTCTATCCTGAGAGCTAATTAAGGAGCCATTTTTCTCAGAAATAGTCTCACTTATGAATTGCCTTCTCCCACCCGTTTCCTGATGAGTCTAAAGAGTTGCCTAGTGTTGCCTATCGCCGAAGCTTTTTCCATCTCTTTCGCCTTTGTCACCCACCACTGTTCACGGTCCTTGCGGAGACTTTTAGTAAGTTTCCTTTTGTGCAGCTTTCGCTCCTCATTGAATTCGGAGCTCGCCGGAATAAGTCTTCTAGCATCTATCAGTTCGGATGAGGCAGTCGAAATCCAGTGGTTTTTACTCACCTTTGGATTTGCCTTATTCACAGCTTTTACAGCTGTATCTATAGCTGACTGAATATTCTTCCAGGCTTCTCCAGGGTGAGCACAGCTGTCGAATTCAGATATGCGTTTAGCTAGTTCTTCCTCAAATAGGGATTTAGTTTCCTGATCGAGCTGGGGACGTGATGGTTTTACCGCCAGCTGTTTCCTACGTCCGTTCAGTCGTAAGCACACACGAGCCCGGACCAGTGCGTGATCGGTATCTACACACGTGTTCCAGAAGGAGCGACAATCTCCTACCGACCCACGCCAACGATAGCTTATTGCTATGTGGTCTATTTGTGTCCAGCGTTGGTTTGATGATGGGGGTCGCCAGGTTAAACAGTGTCTCTCCTTGTGTTTAAAGTTAGTGCTTACAAGAAACAAATGATTATCTGAACAGAACTGTAGGAGACGGTCACCGTTGTCGGTTCGCTGGCACGGAACTCCATAGGTGCCACCGACATCCTTCTCAGATTGACACAATTTCCCTACTTGAGCGTTAAAGTCACCAGCTAGAACGACTATATCTGAGCGTTTAGCCTTTCGCACCAAACTAGACAGCTTTTGGTAGAACTCATCCTTCGTTTCATCCGAACTGCAGTCAGTGGGGGCGTAGGCGGAGATTACGAAAAGGCATCGGCGAGTAGTGCAGTCCTTTCTCCTTCTTACTGATCCGTTCAGACGGACAGCACACATTCGGCTATCTACTGGGATCCAGCCAAGTACTTTTGGTACAATAATATGTGATGAGTTAATTGCAGTATTCTAACTCTATTGGTTATTCCCATATATATATAACAACACCTAATTGTACGTTCATTAATGTATGTGTCTGAGTTTGCTTGAGGATTATAAAAACTAAGTAAAGTATGTGTTTAAGATATATGCACAAAAGTGCTTGCTGTCTGATGACCGACTGGTTGTCTGAATTTCGGTTATCCTAATAATACAAGATTATTGCCAAAACTGTGTGGTTTTTGTTTGATTTTGGATACAACTTCGAGCTAGGACTGCATTCTGGGAAAATTACTTCTTAAATCGATTAGAAAAACAACAAAAATTCATAATCTGCTACAACACCCATTCATGAAGATCACAGCAGCAAGAAGAAAGGTGTAAGTTGTCTTGGTGGGAACTTTACAATATACGTCACCAATTAATATTTTCAAAACCTGAGTAAAATCAACCGTAATGGAGCAAATTCATCAGCTCGTAATTGTCTAAACTTGCGGAGCTTAACTACCTTTCACATTATTTGTTTTTCCTTTTCAAATCGCAGTCATTTATACTCAGTCATATTAACAATCCTTTTATAGTTCTCGACATCCACCAGATGGTTTGGAGGATTACCAACTTGAACAGCTACACAATGACCAATGGCTCTGTTCCATTCCACTCTTACCAACCTAATTTTTCATCATCGGTATACTTAAAAAATTAAGTAAGATCTTTGGTGGTATATGAAAACTAGGTAGCTATTTTTGATAACGTCATTGATTGATGGAAACTAGTATCACAATACGCTGAGTTCCCCGGTCTTTCAGTAGTTAGTTGGTTTTGCAGTAATTTGACTGGTTTCAACTTCTATTACGAACTCACTCTTCAGTTAGAGAAACTACTGAAAACCAGAGAGTACTCAAAAGCAGTCTCGCCCTAGTTATGGACCATTTAACAATACAGTACACCCATGACTACATATCAAACCTACGACCAGTCAGTCTGCGATTAGAAATGAGGATTCACAAACCACAGGATTTTGTTCAAGTGTTTGAATGGTTAAGGAGTCCGCCTCGTAACCTGTAGGCCCTGTGTTCAGTCGCCGGTGGGGTTTATGAGTGCATACTGCTTAAAAGCCTCAGACTAGGCCAAAACATCTGTCTGATACTCGATGTCGGTTTTCAATAGTTTGCTGACACCTCTATATGTCACTCCGTGATCTAACTTCAAACTAAAATCAAATCCCTGAAAAAAACCGACACTTGAAAGATCACAAATTCTCTCTTACCTATTTTATCAGCCAGTGAAGTAGTCTCCTCTGAAGTGTGTCGAAATGATAATTCTTCCTTACGATGACGTTTATGGTGTTTCTTGTTTTTGATTGACTTTCTTTCCAACTTGCGTTTACGATCATTTTCACGCTCTGTACGAATTGAATCCAACGCTGATCGAACAATACTTGGATCTAAACAAGGCACCTTTTGGTTACTATACGGGAAAAAAAAGAATAAATAAACAAAAACTTAGAAAAGCAAAGGACCATTTTAAAGGGGATAATACAATAATATTTGTATCAATTGTGATATAATGGGTAAGAGAGTTGAAAGAATTGAGTTAAAATCTGTCACGGTTCGAACTAGTAACCGCCCTTAAGGACTGCTAAAGTCCAGCACTTGACCAACTAAAATTTAAAAGTATTTTTATGTCCAATAACACTATAAACCCTAATACACACCAAAGAAATACAAAAAATATTAACTCTATATCTGATAAGCTTATGTGATACAACACGCTGTGATCATACCCTATAAATCACTGGATGACGTTTCAAGCACAGTTTATTGCTAGCCATAATCATGTATTCTCACACGAATTCGAAAATTCCTTCATATAACACAGGGAATGAATATGTCGTCCACACATATGTCTACCTAATTTCTTCACACATTTGAACTCATCAGTAGGTGTGGCGTGTGCTACTGATATACAGTTATCAGTAGTATATAAAGAAACGTTCATCGGCATACAAACATCAAACACCAAGAGGATAGATTTGATGTCAGGGAAATAAAATGATACAGAGTTGCGGAGATACATGGGAGACGTGAAAGGATCACAAAGAAACACAATATGAAGGCCCAAAGTAACACAACACGGAAGATCTGTGCACATGGTGATTTCCAAATTCCAAATAAACATTCCTTTACCAAGTCTCTCATCTTCTACCGTTACAGATAGAATTCAGTTTACTTTCAAGTTGGAGAAAACGAAAAATGTGAGAGTTAGCTATGGTGGGTTGACACTGGAATCTATAAAAAAAAACTGTCAGATTTTAATAATTATTTGAACTCTGAATCATTCCATGCAAAATTGGTAGACGTGGATTTAGTTAACTGCTTATGTAGTTTAGCCAGGAGCTGGATTATTAGATTAGAAGATTTCAATAATGAATTCAAACAAATAAAGAAATCATTGGTACTGTATAATTACACACCAGAGTTACACATAATTCAAACTAACAGATCGGGCGGGGTCAGTTAGGCTATCAGAGCATAGAATCTTAACTAACTCTAGAATAATTCCCCCGCTAGGAAGCCTACAGAAATTTTGAGCAGAGCTATGCATGCATTTGCATGTAAATACATAAATATGGTGGCACAAGGTAAATCTCAGAAGGGACATGAGTTCCTTCAAGGTTGCAGATACGCCTTGCTGATGAATGCCAACTAGCACGAAACCTAGGTTCAAGGCTTCCTGTGGCCGATTGCCTCCAACCATCTAATGTCATCAAATCAATGTGCACTGTGATGTCCAGCTACCTAGAATGGTGGCCACATTGCAAACCTGACTGATAAAATTCAGTCTCCACCAAAGAAAGGACTAGAAACGTCACACTAGTTACTAGTGTCCAATCAAAAAGTAATATCATTAGGTGGAGAGAGAGAAAGAGAGACTAATCACTGAATCTTTGTTCGCCGAATCAAATCAAAGCAATCGAACTAACACAAATACTTACCCCACATATATGGGAAATTGCATTAAAAAACAAGTGAGAGTAAAGTAAAAACCACATAAAGGAAACCGCCGTCTGAGAATATATTAAGATTATAATCAGTAACAATAAACTGTGATCAAGCCGTTATCTCCGCTTTTAACACTGTATCATCACATTGTACGTTATGTCAAATAAAATTTTGCATATATGGAGTTATATCCTACAACAGTGCCCAAATTCTCCTTTTACATAAATAATTTCAACTGTTAGGAAATCTCATGGAACATTTTAACAAGCAAAACTGTTACAAACATTTGGAATTATTTAATTCGACTTACGAATCAGTCAGTTTTAGCACAAAAAATACCAATCATATGCTCAGTGTCTTTTTGAAATTGCATCGGTTACTTGCTCAAATCCACTGCTTATATTAATGACTGACTAAGTATGTGTGGAACTCCTGAAGTTTTAGTGAGAAATCATGGTGAATGTTCACCTAATCAGGTGTCAGGGTACATAACTTACTGATGGATGTTGGTTCCCGCTGACTAATTATACATGAATGAAATTCTCGTTGGGGACACTACCACTTAAGGTGGTAGATCACGAGCTCACAGATCAGTTAGACAACCACTTAAAACCAAGGAATATAGGAGGGTTGCGTAGTCCATGTTTCAGATTATTCACCAGGGATCGAACCCAGCACCTTCAGGTTGAGAGGCCAAAAGTTTGACTACCCCCAATCACTGGGTACAAAATTCAGCAACCCATGAATTCTAACTTATGCCGAATGGTGCCATATATATAGTGCCACCCCTAATCAATATCATAGGCGAGTAGTTGTCCTCACACCCGATGAGTTGGTGGACCCTACACTGATTACTCTATCAGTCATTAATGGAACAATAGATTATAATTTTTAAGGGTTGACTAGCAGAGATTAAATTGATTTCAAGTTACATACGTATACAAATTGTTTTGATAAATACACTTACACTTCAGAGTTTATACTGGAACACAATTCAAGATCTGTAGCTGAATGCTGATGTCGATGATGTACATGGTGCTTATGGCTATGTTTATTTTGTAGATGATGATCATCATGATGTGAATGACGACGATGATGATGATGGTGGTGATGATGATGACGATGTCGACGTTGACGATGATGATGATGATGATCAGTATGAAGATAATTAAATCCACGATTATTATAATATCGTCGCATACGTCGAGCATATCTAATTGTACCTGGAATAGGTTCAATATCAGGATCAAAATCACTTGGATGAAAATCGTGATTTAATGGATATTTTGTTTCAGAGACATGTTCCCAATGATAATGACATGCCCATAACCATTGTGGAGAGACAAGATAAAATGATGATGATGGTGGTGACAAATTCACATTTGTAAGCTGAAAATTATCAGCTAAATATTTTAACGCTGCATGAACTTTTTCTGTGCCACGACGACAGGCAATTAAATGTGTAGTATGATGTCCAACTCTACGAACAGCACTACTATCAGGTGTGAAATGATTTTAGGTAAAAAAAAATAAAATAAATAAGGCGAATTGTTGTGGAAATAATTATCAAGTGAATGAGACGCTTCACTTAAATTACATATACACACACACACAAAAGAATAGAGACAAATCCTTGGTAAAACAATACTTCTTGAAGTCCAACTTTAATATCACTGACTGGGCTGCCTACTTAATTCTTTATGCACCTGAAATGTAATACATTTACTCTTACTTCACATGTTGTGTTTAATCATTCAAATGTCTTTGGATAGAAAGTGAGTAGTAATCACGTGTGTATTTTGCACCTAATATAGTACGAATTTTTTGTAGGGAATGGTGAGAAAGCATTACGATGTATTGAGAACAAAACCGAGTGATACCATGTTAACTATCAGGGCATCGTTGAAACGTCTCCACTAGAAGCGAACATGTTGACAGAAACTTGGGATTTCGGTTCAACCAATAGAAATCAGTCAAGTGTAGGTTTGCATGGATTTCACTGGTAACAGGATTTCATCATGAGCTGAAATCAGTTGGAAAATCACTTGAAAATCTGGAAGTGTTTGACAGCTGTTTCGTCCTGATCTGGGGCTCGTCGTCAGGACGCCCATACCACCAGGGTTCGATCTCAGGGCCCTCTGGTTACAAGGCGAAGCTCGTAAACCATTAAGCCACTGAGACCCGATCCAAAGGTCAGGCTATGAATTCCAACTTCCGCCAATTTACTACATAGCGGACCACTAGTTAATGTCATTGGAGAGTGTTTGTCCTCACACCCTATCTGCCGTACCACCCCACTTGTCACAAATTCCCACTAGAACCCAAGTAACTACCTACCTGAATAAGATCAGCCGCTAAGTAGGGCATCAATCGATCAACATAGAAATATGAAACTCAACTTTAAAAAAATTAAAAACTCACTCTGATTTCAATTGGGAAACATCGACAGGTGCAGATGACTTTGTATCCTTATCATTTTCATTATTATTGCTGTTGTTGTTGTTGTCGTCATTGTTAACTTGCTTGCTAGACGGTAGTCTTAAACCTGCGTGTAATATACAGCCTAAACTACGCACAATTCGACCAGCTAAACATCGATCAGCAGGAAAATGAGCAGGTGACAGACCAGACAATGTTACATGACATGTTGGACCGAGAACAGTTTTTCTTAACTTTGCGATAATATCAGAAACATGCGGTAAATTATTACACGAAATAGATACATCTGTATTTCTAGTTGAGGATGATTTGGACAAATTATCCATGACAGGTGATGATGACGATGATGATGATGATGGGTCTGCCGAATATTCACTAATTGAAAAAGTAATGACAGAAAAATTGATGATGAGGAAAAATAAAGACAAAATTTTATTGAATCTTTAAAAAGCGTTTGCATTTATTTCAGATAAAAAGCAGATTGTGTTGTTTGTAAATTTACATCAATTAGTCTATTGGATACATCACACAAAGTGATATATCCCAGTGGAGTGGGACTGGAGCCAGAAACCAACTACTGGCTTAAAGTGGCTGAGATTATTCAGCATTCAGTTCATGTTAATTTATGTTGAATAATTCACGGGAATACTACTGATGAATTCGAGGATCTAGATTTCTTTTCTACGATTTCCAGTCATCGAAACTAGTCAGTCAATAGGCTGTTTTTCCCCAGAGTTAACTTTTAAGTACTAGCTTATGTCATTAAATATATAACTTACTTGGGTAACATCATTATGTAACACAATTTGATGAATAGTTCTTAAACGCCTTGTTTCCAGAAAATTGACAGCTCACTGAAATAACAATGAGATTAATTACTATAATAGTGGAGAAGATTTACAGCCTAGATGAATAGCTATTTTAGTATTAGTAGCTGTTGCCTATTAAATTGCAAACTGATGAGACTACCAAAGGACAGTTAAGTTCAGTTTAATCTACTACGCCTAAGAAAGATGTCTACATCACACTGTTTTACCATGAGGAAACAAATAACATGATCGAAATATTCCCATAATGAGTCATAAGAAAAGGCACAAACAGCGAAGAAAATTTTCTTTTCGACGATTCATTTTCATGAGCTGTACAATCGTAATTATAATTAAACACATAAGTTTTTGACCAATCAGATACTGGTAAACTTTGTCCTTGAAAATTCTGCTACATAGTGTGAGGTGTAAGAAGGGATGACTAATTGTAAGTTAGAAAGGAGACAGAAGTTGGCATGACCTAATAAGTGTGAGATAATGACTAATCAATAAGTTAATGTAGAGTGGACAGGAACTAGTGGAAAGGTTATACAGTAGTTTTGTATAAGATCTGTGTGAAAAAGCAATGTTATCAATAAACAGTCATAGAGTAGTAATAAAATATGGATGGTGGGAATAGTAATAATAATAAAAGTATTAAGAACAGTAATAATAATAATAATAACAGTGAACTTACGTATTAAAAGAGAGGAGAAAAATTATAGTTAGAAATTTACTCTGGCCATGGTAGGGCTAGAGAATGTATGTATCGTTTTTGTATGCATAGGTCCGGTTTTATGTCACGAATAGCTAGTGCCTCGGCTATGTACAGATGTCGTATCCGGAGTCCTTTTGTACGACATTGAGGGACTCTGTGTACCACTGTGAAGCTTTCGTGTGGGGGTGCTCGATGTCCGGAGATAACAAGGTGTTCGAGGATTGAGCTGTTGGTATTCTTCTTTTCTCCTCTGGCTAACCAAGCTGGGCAGTGTTCCAGGATACGTTTGTGAACTTGACGTTGCGTACGGCCGATATACTTTGCTCCACACGAGCAAGTGAATTGATAAATACACATTGAAGTGGCCAAAGGCGGTATCTTGTCCTTAACGTTAGACTGGATTAACTGTCTGCAGGAGAATGTTATATGTAGAGTGGCTGTTGGGAATGTCTTCTTCAGACTTTTTGAAAGGCGGTTTCTGAGAATTTCCGCTGCGATGTCACCTTTGAATTCTAGGTTCATGAAGAGAGTCTTCTTAGGAACCGTTGTGATATTTGGCACCGGGGGCTTCTCCTTCATGTTTTTGTCGATGAATCTTGGCGGATACCCATTCTCTAGTAGGGTTTCACGCAATAAATTTAATTCTTTCTCCACCGTGTCTTCCGAGCAGATTTTTCTAATCCTTGAGCACAATGTACGTACCAAGTTTCTCTTTCGGGTCAGTGGGACAAAGCTCTGGAAGTTGATAAACTGTCCAGTCCATGTTGGTTTCCGGTATATCGATCTTTGGATCGTACAGTCGTCTCTTCTGGTGAGTAATACATCGAGGAATGGAAATGCGTTGTTCGATTCACGTTCTAAGGTGAATCTTATTGATGGATGCGCTGCGTTGAAGGTTTTCAGGAGAGAATCTATATCACATTTTTCATCGCAGATTATAAATGTATCATCTACATATCTCTTGTATAAGTGCAGTTGGCTTATTAAGGGATCAAGGGTGTTGTTTTCAAGACTCGCCATGAAACAGTCAGCTAGGAATGGACCGAGAGGAGACCCCATGGCTACTCCATCTTTCTGTACATAGAACTGTTCATTGAATTTGAACTGGACATTGAACGTGCATCTGAGAAGAAGTTCCTTCAGGTAGTTTATGGGGAGAGGAACTTCTATGTTGTTGGTTTCTATGTAATTACAAATGTTGCATATTGTCTCAGTCAGGGGGATACTTGTGAATAGAGAGGCGACATCTAGTGAGATCATTTGTCTTTCATACACGTTGACATCCTTCACTGAATCGATGAAGTCAAATGTATCTTTGAGGCTATATTTTGTCATATGTCTTTTAACTGGTTCGAGGATATCAGCTAGCCACTTCGCGATTTGGTGATACGGTGAGTTAACCATGTCTATGACCGGTCGAAGTGGAACATTTTCTTTATGCACTTTCGGCAGTCCATACAGTCTTGGAATAGTTGAACTACATGGTTTTATTTGCTCATAAACCTCCTGTGTTATGACTGAATCTTCTTTCATTCTTTTCAGCAATTTTGTGAGTCTGTCTGTCTGTCTGGATTCAACATAGAACTTGGCACCGAAGTGCAGCAGTTCGAGTTGCCACGTTCCAAATAGCACACAGAGGTAGACAAGAAGATGAGTGAAGAGAATCAATAGAGTTTGACAAGTATAAGAGTGAAACAGTATGGGTAATGGTAGAAAGGAATATGAAAGATTACAGAGACTGAATACATCTGCGCTGGCCATTGACAACGATCACTTTGAGCCATGTCACGTATTGTCTCCAGCCATTGATTCCTAGAGTCCCGAGGGCCCCAACCCGGGAGTCTGCATCTCCCTACCTGACTCAGTTTAACTGTCAAGGATTTCATGGATTGATGCCATGTTTTTGTTTGGCCACCACTGGCTCTTTTCCAACCTGAACCTATATCAGCTAACAATGCCCGTCGGGGGAGGCGGTGGTTAGGCATGCGCACCACGTGACCTAGCCATCTTAGTCTATGTAACTTTATAACCTCGTCGATTGATTTTCCCTCTTTGCCCAACACTCTACGCCTAACGTCAACATTACTTATCTTGTGAAACCACCTAACGTGAGACAGAGATCGCAGACATCTATGATCGAAAGCAGTCAACCTTTTCATGTCTTCAACGCGTATTGGCCATGTTTCAGAGCCATAGAGAAGGATGGAGCGAACTGATGAGCAGTACACACGTCCCTTGGTTGATAACCGGATGTCACGCCTACGCCAGAGATGGTGTAAGTCAGCGAAAGCAGCTCGAGCTTTTCGGATCCGTGCTGAGATTTCATCGCCAATCAGTCCGTTGGTGCTGATACAACTTCCCAAGTAGGTGAGTAGGTTTTCTGTTCTTTCGGTTGTGTCTTTTTGGTTGGGTGATTCAAAGAATTTGGTTTTGTCTGATAGTATATTTGTCAATTTCTCATTATAATCGGATCTATTCATCACTACAATCCCACTGCCCCTATCAGGACGGACAAGGATTATGTCCTTATTTTCTTGAAGTTGTTTAAGTTGTCTTCTGTGTTCTTTGGTTAGTAGGTAACGGTGGCTCGGTTGCGTACGAATGTACTTGTAACAGCTGTCAAGAATTGAAGCTTTGAATTGATCTAGGTCTTTTTCTAAGATAGACTTTGATTCTGTTATCCGTAAAACTTACTACACAGCTCGATTTATCATAACCTAAAAAGCCGGTAGCACAATCTAACACAAACTTCAACATCTGGACAGGTAATTACACATCACATCCCAAATTGTGTTTACATGGGCTGACATACATAGGGAAAAGTATTAGCACCTTGCACAAGACGGTTAGGAGACATATAGACAAATCCTTTGGAAAACAACTAAACTCTAAAACCTTGTAAAGTGCAGGTGACAGGCTACCAGCCTCGTTTATACAGAAGCACATCATTGATAAGAATCATACGATTGATAGCAGAATAGTTTTTAGGACTATCTATAAAAACCGTCAGAAACATATACTGAAATACATTTATAACAACAGAAGGCAAGACACGGGAGTCAAGTTATATTTTTCTTTAATTAAACCTCTATTTATAATATCTACAGTTTATATCCGTTAACCAATCACTGAGCTTGTGAATTCGGTTAACATGAAACGACATGAAATAGAATTTCCAAATATACATACCACCTTGTTGTTGATGCAGTATATAACCGTGGGAAAAGTATTCTGTCTATAACATCAAGTAGAATGTTCTGTTGCCAATGCCGAATTGAACTATGGGAATACAACGTGAGAATAATATCCCATTGGCACATATTGTCTGCATCACACCACCACAAATTGAGTTGATAGCCCCTCCTCCTTTCTTCGTGTGTACAATAATAACTAATTATCACCTTTCAATCCCTTATTATTTTGTTCATTTTTAGTTGACCTTATATTTGGTTTTAAAGAAGTTATATCCGGTGAGGGAATTGACACTTCCACCTTTTCGTAGCCATGCAGGATAGTCTTCTTGCACCCTCTTGGACAAAACTCGAGTCGAACTTCGATTTGTCTACTAATCCTATAATTGCACATCCTTGTTCAAGCTCTATCCATCCTATGAATTATTCTATATATGACATTAATTTGCTTTGCCACTTGACATTTAACTACGATTATAATCACAAACATTTTTAGTTTTAATTGAACTTCATATGATTATTATTATTATTTTGTGCATTCACACCTAAGATTCAATTCCCTCACCGGATATAACTTCTTAAAAACCATACACATATACGATTGTACAGCTTGGTGATAAACTCGTTGAAAAGAGTCTCTTCGCTGAATAATCACTTGTTTTGATTTTCTAAATGTTACAATGGGAATTTTCTATGACCTTATATTTCTCAAACAAATTCAAATGACACCTAATTGTGTAGTTAGATTTGTTCGAAATGTATTGCGCAAACACATGACACATTTTTTCAGATGAAATCCGTCTTTTATCCACACTATCCAAATTTACTATGGATTGATTTGCGTTATTTATTCTTTCCTTGAATTACGAGTAGAAAATAGGGCTTTAGTAGTACATCTCAATTCCACTCTGTTTTTTTTGGCAATCTTTCCCAGTTGACCCCAAAAACTTATATTTCCTGCACACATGATCTCCAATGTTTCACCCACCTTAGGACATCCGAACGGTTGTTTTCCACTTGGGTTCCACTGAAAGCACTGTCTACCGCGTGATGTCACTTAAATGTCTGCCCCAGTGTATGTCTAAATCATCTCCATTTCTTTCCGCAAATTTTTTGGTTGAGTAATTAGGCTGTGTTGGCTGATTGATATCACCTAAGTTTTCAGTGGAGTCACTTGTTTAAAAAGTGTGCGAATAGGCTGTCAGAAATCCAGATGATGACAAACCACGCCAAGTCTCTGAGTTGACCTCTTCCATATGCACTAAGTGTGCCTGAGCGTTGACGCGGATTGTCAGAGTAATGAATCTATTTCTTACTTTCCCGATCCGGCGAAGTTAAACTTTCGACACCACTAACTACCAATCAGCGAATTATCCAATGAGATTCACGAACGCAGTTCAATGTTGTATATAGCGCCTGATTCATTTCTAATGCGTGACCTTACAAGGCTGTTGTTGCAATTCGAGGAGGTTAGTGTTTCCCAGTATTTGTGTGGTGGTATCATGACTTTAAAAAGCTAAACCAAATCAACTGATGTGTTTGTTCATCGTTGTGCTATATGTTTGAAGCCTACTAACACTAGAGAGGGTATGCTGATAATTTTATTATTTCGTAGGAACTTTTTTCGCTAGGTCGCTTCTCTCCCTAAGGATAGCAGATAGAAAAGCAACTACTCTTATACCTATTGTTACCAGAATTGTTAAGCTGGGGTCAATTATACACACGGAAAGGCTACAATTCGCTGTCATCTCTGGGATATATTCATCGTAGAGACAACCATTCAAGTGATTTTGTGGATCCCGTTACGAGGACACATACAAATTCTAATGAAGGATTTTGGGGCAGGTTGAAAAATAGGATAAGGGCTATAAATGGATCTCATTTATAGTCATTTGGATGAATATATGTACAGGATATGGTGTAACTTCACCATTGACAGTCCCATGCTAAACTGGGAGATTTTTCTCTCACATGTTCGAGAAAGATATCCCATGTAACCTTTTTTATTATCTATTTTATGCTTTTTTCTATAAATATACATTTCCATTCATCATATATGCCTCTTTAATGTGATTGGTCCGTTCGAGGTCGTTTGCTGATTGGTTGTTAGTGGTATCGAAAGTTTAACTTTGCCCCCAATCCTAAGCCATATCGCGCTTGTAGTTGAAATGATGCTGCCTAGAATTAGACTTGTTGTTAATTGTTGTTAATTTCATCAGCTCCATCTTTAATAATAACAATGGCAATAGTAATATTAATAATAGTCAAAAAACCAAACATTCAAAAATGAATATACTTCATGTTTACCTGTGCTTTCTCTTATCATCAACGGATTTGTTGATAGACTTTTTTCTGTTACGCTGCTGATAAAGATCATAAGTTTTAAAATAATTTCTATGAATCCTTAACAGGATTTCTTGTAAACGTAATAAATAATCATCATCTAGTGCATCCATTTCTTCTTCCATTGTCTTTGTAGGTGAAAGTATAACAATCTCATTTGGATTTTCTGTATTAACGTTATTACTGTCTAAAGGAGTATTAACATTTGTCGAAACAGCTGTTGTGGTATTGTTGTCAGTTTTGTCTTCATTATTAACAAAAGGTGTAGGGGAAATTATTGATGATGAACACTCTTCATCAAGACAAGTATCTAACTTACAAGAGTCAATATCTTGTTTTTCAGAGGGAACTGGATTACCATCTCTACTACTAAATAGACAAAAGAGAGAAAAGAGAAGGAAAGGAAAAGGGAAATGTCAATAACATTTCACGCTTATAAGTTAACTCACACAGAATTTCCATATGCCAGGCAATTATTATTGTGTCAAGTCTAGGGATATTACCATTAAGTAGTTTTAGTTGTTCAGGTTAAAGTAGACTCATTAGAATTCAAACGTAGGATTTATTGAAGGGAAATCTGAATGCGAAACACATGTCTATACAATGCAAAGGTGATATTTTCTTTCATTACAGATACAAAAGTAGGCAGGCATTCAACGGGGGAATGGAGAAATGAAGAATTTATAATTGATCAACTGCTTCAGATTTCAATGTGATCTGAGTTGGTATCGCATTTCCTGGCAAGCAGGAAAAACCAGGTATACTCAAAAAACGAAAGTCACTTAATATGAAAATCTATGAGTTTAGTTTCAATCAATTAGCCATAAAGAATAGACCGATGGTGATATAGACTACTGAGTTATCGATATGAGTAGTTGAAAACTACTAACGTAAAACCGGTAGTATTATACGTTGGACACTAAATCAAAGAAGGATATAAACACCGGACGGTCGTTTCACCTGTTTGCAGCTAACTTCAACAGCTGTGTTCCAGGAGAGAATTAATTCAGTGTGTCAAGTCAGCTTAAACCACCCGAATCCTCGTTACAGTTCAGATTCTCGCCTTACACTGAATTTGCAAATAACGAACAATCGACCTAAACTGATAACAATATTCAGGAACTAATATGGAAATACAATTCAACTCACAGGCATAGTTGTAATTCAGCAGATATCAGATGCACTAAGATTACCAGGATGTGGACCACTGGTCTAGTCATGAGACTTTCAATCAGTGGGGTTGTGCACTCAAGACCAACTTCACCTACTAAGCTTCGGACAGCCTGGATGTGAAACATCAGCTCTATCTAACACACTAAATGACTCAGTAATATGAGCATGAATATGCAGTAAATGCGGATATGGCTAACTGGCTTAACCATTTGACTAGAAGCAGAATGAGTCCCAAGTTCGAATCACGCCACCACCTAATTCAACCTGGCCAACTGGATGATTGTATCACCAGTGTTCATTTACACAACAACTCTGTAGTTCAGTAGCCCAATAGTACATTGAACACATGTGTTCCGAGGTAACCAAGTTCAAACACACTTAACCGTCAACATTAATTACTTGTATTACAATTTAAGTATATGCCACTTACTCACTCTCCATTTCACTTTTTGAGATAGTAAACGAGGTGGCTGTATTAATTGTGGTGTTGTCATTAATTAAATCACCGCTGTTTGTAACAGTCTCATTTATATCATCTGATAAAACATTTTCATTCACATCGACTTTCTCCTGGTTTAACTGGGTATCAGGAAGTGTTTGCGTTTTTGATTTGAGCAAGGGGGATGACGATGTGGATGGTTGACATGCAAGTTGTGACTGCATTGATAACCATGGGAAAGCGTTGATATCTCCAATATCAGGGAAAAAACTATAAATAAATGAATATATATGTACACATTGTTATAACTGTTACTGAACTGGATGATAACCGTAGTCACATGTGTTGACTTAAAAGGCATTTATAATCTATGCTAACACAGCCAAAACAAAACTAAGAAGAAAAAACTGGAGAAATATTGAGACAAATTCTTTATCAGTAGTATATATATTCATAATTTACTTTTAAGACTGGATTTACGCTACCAACTGGTTTCTCTCACTATCTACCACCTAACTTCACTGAGCCGCGAAAATATCAGAAGACAAAGAATGACCTGTGACTGTAAGGACAACTTTATCCAACAGAAATAAAACAGCCGTAAAAGCAAAAAATAGGTAGGGATAAAGAGGATGGAAAAAGCCAAGAATACTACTTCAGCAGTAGGGAAAAAAAGACTTCCATTCTCAGAGTCATGTTTGATAAAATTCAAGTCATTGAGCTGCATAGTCACTCGAACCCTACTCAGTGAGCAATAGTAACACACCAACAGACAACTAACTTAACACTACTATCCGTTACTCAACTACACCATATCATATGTTGCCCAGCTCTCTCTGTTATTTCTGATCAGTCCCTGAGGTAGCCAATTGTGAACAGTATGGCAACCCATGGGATAAAATTTCTAACACATGTCTGAGTCACTGAAACCGATGTTCCACAGTAATTACCAACTAAAAGAAAGTACTCATTTTGCCCGAAGGCGTAAATGAAGACTAAAAGTGTCGAAGCGATGCATACCTGATGTTTGACAGCCAGAAGTGATTCTAGTCCTGACTTTCAACACATGATTGTGTTAATTAATACAAGTATTCAATTTACACCAGATCGGCAAAAATGACTGGTATCTCAGAGTCATGAATACGTGATAAAAGTGCAAACTCTTTGAGTATACTTTAGTTCCATAGAGAGATAAATGCAAGTAGCTAAACAACCTAACTCCCAAAGATATCAACAAACAGATTTCTATATTTCCCTGTAATGCCTCGTCGACTAAAATGGATAACGTTCGGTTATGCGTTTTCTGAGTCGAATTTAACCAGCGCTTAATCACACCAGAGTTCTTCTATACGGAATGGATCAGAAACTTGGGGGGTGGGGTGTCACAAAGAATATTTCCAACAGCCTGTTGCGGACCTTTATCAACAACTGTCTTCGCTGGATCTATACTGAAGATCAGATGGCCGGGCCGGAAAGAATCACCAACACGAAATTATGGGAACAAACAAAACAAGAACCAATCGCCAACTAACAAATATGCAGGAGAAATTGGAGATGGATTGGACACTCGCTGAGGATGCCACTGGGTGACATCGCGCATCAAGCCATTGCTCGAGTGGAACCAGGCCAAAAGGGAAGCGGCGAGTGGGTCATCAGTGCAAGGGTGACATGGAGGAGATCATGTGAAGCGGAGTTGAAACAGTATGGACTAACGTGGATGCAGGTGAAAAGTACAGCAGAAGACAGGAGAGCAAGTGGAAACGTGCAGTTGAAGCCCTATGTACCACTAGGAACCCAAGGGAACAATAATAATAATTAATCACAGGAGAGTATGAAATATGAGATACACGGAAATGAGAACGGTAGTCTATCCTTTACATACACAGCCAAATCATATTTCAGCTGGATTATATATACCAGACTGAAATTAGCCCTATAAAAAGTGTGTTTAATTAAGAAAATTTGTAAAATAATAATGGGTACCCTAGAACCATAGAATAAGAAAAACTCATCCGGCTTACCGATACGGTTTGACATGGATCAAATTCGGAGACCAATCCCAAACTTCACCACGATCATCAATGATACAAACTAAATTCAGACCACGAGGAAATAAGGCCCTTTTGTGGAGGAAAAAGGAAATCAGATCGACGTGAAAGTATGAAGATTACTGAATATAAAAATAAATAAATAAAACGCTATCCTACGCTGGCTCAAGAGAATCTCAAGGAAGTAGTTTAAAGATAGCACAAAGGTTTGTTACATACAAAAGCCCGAGTAACACACAGACTAAGTACCTTAATTAAAACCCGACATAGAATAGTGTTTATTTTAAGATGATTCCTAACAAATAATTGTCTATCTAAATGGTGTTCAGAGTAAACAAAAGAATTTAAGCTAAATTTAATTGTATAGATACATACACAAACGGCCATAACCTTACAGCCACAATCAACTCCAGGATTATCCACCTAGCGAATTTTCGTTAAATTCAGGTGTGGCGGGAGTAGATATCACTCTAGAAAGTGATATTTTTTGCCATTACTAAGTATATAAATTTTGAGAAAAATTCCTTATTAAGATGAATTATGGAGAAAAAATGTCGTTTTGTCCACATTCCTGGAGAACTGTATTCAGCGGCTATCATGTTCTCATCACTTACAATAAGTTCCAACAAATTCCCAATGTAGAACTTTGCACATATATGCACCAGTTCAAGGTGCTATACTTCATAAAAACACACACATAAAGGCAGAGTAAAGAACGCAAAGGAACTACGATGAAGCGAAATGTATATAGCAGAAAGAATAAATACATGGAGATTAATGAATGAATAAATCTAAACCATCGAGAACGATTTGGGACCATTTCACCAACAGACTCCTACTACTTCTTCTTCTTCTTCTTCTTAGCATCCCACCGACCCTAACAACTCAGCGTGCACCTCCTTACGTGGCTGGCTCAAACTAACAGTCAAATAATTTATGAATTCAATCCATGTTTTGATTTGACCACCATGCTAACTCTTTTCTAAACTACATCTTATATCAACTAACATTGCTCGACAAGGAAACAGGTGGCTTACCGTGCGTTACATATTTTCTGGCCATTTAATCGAGTCAGCTTCCAAACCTTCTCAGTTAACATTCACTCCTTACCTAAACCTCAGTATTACTCACAATATTGTACTACTTGACACGGGAGACAGAATGCAAATGCCTACGATCACAGACGACTAGCCTCTTCATCGCCAATTTCATTAATTTCTTCCTTGTTCATATCTGTGATTTTATCTGAACTAAAGAATACACAAAATCGACTGGTGGATTTTGTCATAACAACCCAAGAAATTAATTTCCTTAAAATGTGTGTATACATTGTGTGACAGCAAAGACTAGGTAGTTCACGAGAAATTACAAATAAACAACAAAACATGATAGGCCCGAAGAACAGATTTTCACCGAACGAAACTGTTCAGACAAGTTGTTTCTCATCACCTTTTTAAAATGTACCAGTAATCTGATTCACTTTCATTGTTGCACCGGTGATGGCTAGTGTGTACTATCTATTAGTAATCCTGGAAATGTGGGAAGATTGGGTGAGAGAGTAGCAACTCCACCCCGTAATGAAACAGCACTGCAACTGAAATTTCACAGGCTGTAATTCTACATACGACTCAGAACACAAGCGAAAAAACCACCGATTCACAAAGGATTACTTACTATAAAGTGTATGAAGCAATAATTCAGTAAAAATTTGATTTTCAACATTTCATATTTAATCTTCACTAATGTCCTCAAAATATTTATGATTATTATAACTAGTTCCAGGATTTCATCATGAGATGCCATAGGATAGAGACCCATTGGGAAACCTGGGAGTACCGGACAGCTGTTTCGTCCTAGTCTGGGACTCTTCATCAGTACGCATCCACCAGAGAGGGGTTCGAACCCAGGACCTTCTGGTTACAAGGCAAGCTCGTATCCCATTAAGCCACCGGGATCCGATCCAATGGCCCATGAATTCTAACTCCTGACAATTCACGACATAGCGCGACCACTAGTCAATGTCTTCGGCGAGTATTTGTCCTCACACCTGATCTGCTGCACCCTACTGGTCACGACTTCTCACTAGAACCCCAGGTAACTACCTACCTGAATAGGGCAAGTCGCTAGTGAGCATCTCATTGATATTCAAGTGTTGATTTGTAGGGATTTGACTGGTTACAAGATTTCATCATGAGCTGAAGTCGGTTAGAAAACCATTGGAAAACCTGAAGGGAGTACTGGACAGCTGTTTCCATTGTCCTAGTTAGTCTGGGACTTCATCAGCACGCAACCACCGCCCAGGTTCGGGCCCAGAACCTTCTAGTCACAAGGCGAACTCGTAGACTATTAGGCCATTGGGACCATTGTAACCAGAAGGTCCTGGGTTCGAACCCTGGTGATGGATATGTACTGATGAAGAGTCCCAAACTAGTGCGAAACAGCTGTCCAGTACTCCCTTCAGGTTTTCTAATGGTTTTCTAGCCGACTTCAGCTGATGATGGAATCTTGTAACCAATCAACCAAATCCCTACTGACTAATACTTGAATATTATAACTAGTGTTTACTTTATAGAGGAGAATTTGTGTTTAAACATCTTTTTCGTTAACATTTTACTGAAAAAAAATAATCAATCGACTGACTTACTTTAAATTTGCTGATTTTGTTACTGGATTAAAGCATTCATCCCGTGAAAGTATACGTTGTGAAAAGTATTTACGCTTTGGATCTATCAGTGAGGCAAGTTGATGAGCATATACACGATTGCCAAATGTACAAATATGCATTTGATAATAGTAACTAAGACGATCTAACACATCTTCTAAATGAGGTCTTAATCGAGTATGATAAACAAGTGGTGATCCTGGCAAGCAATAACGATGAACGTTCTGACAACAGAAAGAACAATAGGAAAAAACAGAAAAGATAATGGAAAAATAAAGACACTACAATAGACAGATAAAGGAAAAAAATCAAATAAGAGCAGTTATGAGTTGGTTACAGTACCAAGCACAGAGAACAACATCTGAATTTTTTTAACACTAACGCCAAGTCGATGCTCCTATGCAGCCCACGAAGATCTACAACAAACACTGGATTATAACGACCGCGCTTCCTGCTGCCGTGTCACAGGGCAGGAGTGATAAATATGCTACTGAGGCACACAAAACAAAAAGAACAAACAAAAACAGGCCGCGTGTGACCGGCCTCAAGCAGTTGTCCCCTGGGCTCTGCGGTCACGCAACCAACTTCCACGGTGTGGGCAGCCGGGAAGTAACAATCGCCCTCACAATCCGAAATGCACACGAAACCTCTCTATTACTCACTCATCTTTGTCTTCATCTTCATCTCTATCATCTTGCCTTCCTTCCACTGATGCAACTCCTCGACTTGATAGCTCTCCACTTCCTCTCCACTCTGCGTCCACTAAAAACGATGGAAGCCAAAAAACCACCACCGACAGCCTCTTAAAGCCGCGCCACCAATTTCATATAGGAGCTCTTAATGTTAGGACACTTTGCCAAATAGGACAACAAGCATCACTAGCCAAGACCCTGGCATCACGAGCCATTGATGTGTGTTGTGTTTCAGAAACACGCATACAAGACCCAAGTGTGGTTATTCACCTAACCCCACCTGGCCAACAGGTTGAATCTGCAAAATTCACCTTGAGGGTGTCAGGAGATGCCACAGCTAGTTCACGAGGATTAGCTGGCGTAGGGATAGCTTTGAGTACTAGGGCAGAAAAGACATTGCTTGACTGGATCCCGGTAGATAGCCGAATGTGTGCTGTCCGCCTGAACGGATCAGTAAGAAGGAGGAAGGACTGCACTACTCGCCGATGCCTTTTCGTAATCTCCGCCTACGCCCCCACTGACTGCAGTTCAGATGAAACGAAGGATGAGTTCTACCAAAAGCTGTCTAGTTTGGTGGAAAGGCTAAACGCTCAGACATAGTCGTTCTAGCTGGTGACTTTAACGCTCAAGTAGGGAAATTGTGTCAATCTGAGAAGGATGTCGGTGGCACCTATGGAGTTCCGTGCCAGCGAACCGACAACGGTGACCGTCTCCTACAGTTCTGTTCTGATAATCATTTGTTTCTTGTAAGCACTAACTTCAAACACAAGGAGAGACACTGTTTGACTTGGAGACCCCCTTCATCAAACCAACGCTGGACACAAATAGACCACATAGCAATAAGCTATCGTTGGCGTGGGTCGGTAGGAGATTGTCGCTCCTTCTGGAACACGTGCGTAGATACCGACCATGCACTGGTCCGCGCTCGGGTGTGCTTACGACTGAACGGACGTAGGAAACAGCTGGCGGTAAAACCATCACGTCCCCAGCTCGATCAGGAAACTAAATCCGTATTTGAGGAAGAACTAGCTAAACACATATCTGTGTTCGACAGCTGTGCTCACCCTGAAGAAGCTTGGAAAAATATCCAGGCAGCCATAGATACAGCTGTAAAAGCTGTGAATAAGGTAAACCCAAAGGTGAGTAAAAACCACTGGATCTCCACCGCCTCATCCGAACTGATAGATGCTAGAAGACTTATTCCGGCGAGCTCCGAATTCAATGAGGAGCGAAAGCTGCACAAGAGGAAACTTACGAAAAGTCTCCGCAAGGACCGTGAACAGTGGTGGGCGACAAAAGCCAAAGAGATGGAGAAAGCTTCGAGGATAGGCAACACCAGGCAACTCTTTGGACTCATCAGGGAAACGGGTGGGAGAAGACAAATCATAGTGAGACAATCTCGGAAAAAAATGGCACTATAATTAGCTCCCAGGATAGACGACTGGATCGTTGGAAAGAGCATTATGAGGAGCAGTTTAATTTGCCCACAGCCACGCTCAACCTTCCGAGCATCCAACACCTCCCTGAATGGGATATAAACACAGGTCCTCCGTCACTAACTGAGGTTACTAAAGCTGTCACCAATCTGAAACTAGGCAAAGCAGCGGGACCTGATGGAATGACTCCAGAGGTATTTAAGTACGGTGGAGACAGCTTACTGTCCGGATTAACTGAGGTACTAGGCAGCGTCTGGGAATCAGAAGAAGTCCCATCGGGTTGGTGTAAGTCACTGATTATCCCCATATACAAGAAGGGAGACAAGTCTTCCTGTGATAATCACAGAGGGATTAGCTTGACTAATATAGTATCTAAAGTCTTAGGCTCAATAATCATGCGTAGACTGAGTGGTGCTCGGGAAGCACAAACACGAGAGAGCCAGGCAGGCTTTAGACCAGGAAGAGGGTGTATTGATCATATCTTCACCCTCCGACAGATTCTAGAACATAGGCATTCCTACCGGCGTCCAACAGTCATTATATTTCTTGACCTAAAGGCAGCATTCGACTCTGTCGATCGGGAAGTTCTCTGGAGATGCTTGGCTGTAAAGGGAATTCCAAGAAAATATATTGCACTGATTAAGGCACTCTACTCGTACTCATACAGCCAGGTGAGGGCTTACGGCGAGCTGTCATCTGAACTGATGACGACCAGTGGTGTCCGTCAAGGATGCCCATTATCTCCTTTTCTATTCAACTTCATCATAGATGTGTTAATGGACTTAACCCTAGGTGACTTCAGCGACTCAGGGATTGACTTGCTACCGGGAATAATCTCGTTGACTTGGAATATGCAGACGATATAGTCCTTCTAGGCGAAGACGCTGACGAAATGCAGAGTCTTCTAAACACCTTGAGCCGCAATCTACGAATGTTTGGCATGCGATTCGCTCCCGCCAAATGCAAGATGATGTTACAGGACTGGACTACATCGACGCCTAGTTTAAAAATAGGAAGTGAAGTGGTAGAGCACGTTGACCGCTTCACTTATTTGGGAAGTACCATCAGCCCCAACGGGCTGATCTCTGACGAAATCTCAGCACGAATACAAGGGGCTCGTTTCGCATTTTTTAGTTTACGCCGACTCTGGCGTAGACGAGATGTTCGACTATCGACCAAAGGGCGGGTGTACTGCTCATCAGTCCGCTCCGTCCTCCTTTATGGTTGTGAGACCTGGCCACTGAGAGTGGAAGACATGAAAAGACTAGCTGTCTTTGATCATAGGTGCCTGCGTTCTATTTCCCGTGTAAAGTGGCATAATAAGGTGAGCAACATGGAGGTTAGGCGTAGAGTTCTAGGTAAACAGGGGAAATCAATCGACGAAGTCGTGAAGCTACATCGACTGAGATGGTTAGGACATGTGTTACGTATGCCAAGTCATCGCCTCCCTCGACGAGCTATGTTAGCGGATATACTTTACTTTACTTTACTTCGGCTATCTCCTACGGGAGGATGAGCCGGCTTCATGAACCATGAAGTTTCATGGGAATTGGGTACGAGTGATGTCCCCAGGATCGCTCGGCCTTTTGTTTGAGAGTGCAGCTCTAGCCTTTACACAACCAAGTGTGACCTACAAGGCAGTAGGAGTGGAGTAGGGAGTCCACTATCCATTGGCAGCCGGTGACCGGAGTCAGGTTCATTCGCCTTTTTGAATGGGGCCAGTCATCCAGGGCATCCAATAAGCCCTTTGTCCATACGTCTGCCGGTGAGCTTCATACGCCAGTCGTTGGAGGTTTGGAATCAGGGTTTAGCCATCTCCCCTAGACTGTCATCCAATGGACAGTCAACCCGGTGAAGAGCGCCGGGCATCCGCTTTTGCCCTCTCACTTTGGTGAAAAACACCTCCGCCACGTGAAGGCAGTGAGTAGGACTTCCTCAGGAGAGGCTATGTAAGACGCCTGGTCATATGGGAGCATTTCAAGAGATGTACGGAGGGGTGGCCAACCCGCAGCGCAAGACACCCACCCCCGACCATCCTGAGGCTTTGGAGGCGTTAGCGGATATAGGGTCAGGCTGGAAAAAAGCTAGCGGCGGTCAAACAAAAACTTGGCATCAGTCAATGAAATCCACAACAGTTGGTCTAAGCCACGTAGGAAGGTGTAGACTTCCAGGCTGGGGTCCTCGGGACGATAAAAATCTATGGTTGGAAACAATTGGTGACATGGCTCAAAATCGTTTTCAGTGGCGCAGATGCATCCACTCCCTGTGACTTATGATCTTCAATGAAACTGTTTTGTTTTTCTTTATTACTCCTTTGTCTCACACCTCTGCTCACTGTTTCTATTATGCTTTTCTTGTACTTTCTTCTCTTGCTTCGCGTGCTACACGGAATGTGGCGACTTGAACTTCCGCACATTTGTGTAAAGTTCTATGTAGAAAACAGACAGACAGACATACACTAACCGCACAACAGAACTACACTTCTATAAGGTATTATGCTAAAGTGTAAGAGGGAGATTGATCAATGAGTCCTTGTTTATCAAATCTACAATAGGAATAACGTAACATCAATACCTGAGATATGGAAAATAAAAGCAAAGGATAAGAAATAGTGGAGTCATGTATACAAAGTATGGGAGTTTTACATGAATACCTCGATATGATTATGAGTAGTAATAAATTGTACTCGAGACGTGATCAGTAAATGAATAATACAGTATCATCACTGTCTTAACAAATAATTGAAACAATTCAAGTGTACCATGAAATAAGTATATATTGGGAATATTAACTATTTACAACATAACATTGTTAAATAAGTTTATTACCCCATATTGGAAGGCCTGTGGATCGTTTGTTGTGTGAATTATGGTCTGATCTAAATCGACGAGCAAGACAAGTTTTCGAGCAGCTAATAAACTTTGTTGATCTTGTAAAGCTATTTCATCTGCAACCTGTCCAATAAAAAAAATTGTATGGATATAAGACATAGACATTCCGGAGAATATATGAGAAAATCAACGTACATACGATTGAAATGGTTTGCCTGTCTCAGTCTACGTATACAATGGGGATGTGGCACTTATTCATCTAGGCAAGCAGATTTCACTTAGTGCATACCAGATGCGAACCCCCACCCGCCCACCTCCGGTTCCACCTACTTCAATCTGGGAAACTTGGTAATATCTTAAGGCCTCATTCTTACAATATGTATATCGTGCATAGCCCATCACATGAAATATTTGTTCTGAATAGCTGAGTTCAAATAAACGTTTACTACTCAAACCTCCTAAGATTACGGCTTTCCAAGGATTCAACTGACTTAAATATCGAACTCGTCATAAACTACAGAACAAACTATTGGACAGCTGTTATGTCTGAATTTTAGGCTTTTCGAGAATGATATCTGAAGAATCTTGGTATTAATAATAATAATCTGCTTTATTCCAAAAGAGTACTTAAAATACAGTGTAAAGTATTTTCAGTTTTTCTTCAAGTCAGACCTTATACTATTGCTGATTTATTTAAAGAATACGCCAGAGAAGTTTTATAAGTAATAATCCTAAAATATCAAAGTGGAAATTCAGTTGTCTAAACTCATTTCCCTAGACAGGCCGTTCATGTTTCACTTACTGTGACGGCCTATGATACTACCTATTTGTCCAGGATGAAGGGGCAGTGGGATGTAGATCCAAGACCCACTAGTTGAAAGTTGACTGCATAAGTTCACACCCCACGTCTGCACCACAATATGGTCAGTAATACTAAAGTTAGATGTAGTGTAAAGTGATGAGAGAAGGCCAATCGATGAGGTCGTGAGGCTGCATCAAATGAAATAGCTAAGACACGTGTTATACACTGTCATAGTCTTCCTCGTCTACCAATGTTAGCTGATATAATGTTGGGTTGAAAAGGAGTTGGTGGTGATTAACTCAGAGCATGTAATTGTTCCATGAAATTTTTGACTGTTGGTTTGAGCCATGTGGGGAAGTGTAGATTGCCTACCTGGGGTCCTCGAGTCACTTTGAATTGCTGCAATTTTGAGAGACGTCCTACTGTAACCTTATTTAACTACCCCAGACCAGCACTGCAGACTTCGAACAGACAATTCGTTTTATAGATGCAAGACATAAAACCTCTGACCCACAAGACCCCCATTTGTACAGTTCCAGTAGGAACCTACTACCACCTCTGTCAGCCGACCACGCCACTTGACTCTGGCACATCAGACACAAAAACGTAGAGACACCAGTCTGTCCTTAGCGTGGACCTTATCACATCACTCTCCAGTTTTATATACATCACCCATTCACAGGCTACCACTGACTCGATCTCTATGCCCTTATATCGCACTCATCAACCAACCTGTCCTAAAACAAACTCAACATTATCCTCTATCCTAAATCCTGTTTTTGTCAATCCATTCGCCCCTGATAGTATTTGTGAGAAAATAATGAAGTCAATGGAGTTTTCCGATGTACTTGATGAAAGGAATAACCCAGGAGGCACTGATATTGTACAACACCATATTGATAATGGCGTGTTACTGCATATGCGTCGGTGGCATAGTGGTTAGGACTCTCGCCGACCATGCACATGGTCCGGGGTTCGAGCCCGCACCGACGCACACCTGATATCTATGGTCGGCCTGCGAAATTTGGGCTACCGATATCCATGCTGAAAATTCCATACTTGTACCGAAAATACAGTGTGGAATCAAGCTGTAAATCAAAAAAAAAAAAATTATGCCAGTCGTAAGCTTAACAAGTGTGAAACACGCTATTCCACTACTAGAATGGAAATGCTTGCTATTTTCCATTTTCTTTAACATTTCCAGTATTATCTTCTTGGGCGCCCCTTTCGAGTGCACAGTGTCCATCGCGCATTGTAGTGGCTCCAAGCACTTTGCGAACCCAAAGGCCAGGGAGCCCGTTGGCAGGAAAGCTTGCGAGAGTTCGATTTTACTTGCAATTATCCACCAGGAGCTCAACATACTAACGTAAATGCATTGCCCTGACTGCTAACTTTTTTTCCACAGTGAGTGCTGTATTTGATACAGGAAAAGATGTTGCTTGGGCATCACTCCAAGTGGTTGACGTTGGCATACAGCCTATTTCCTTACGCCAACTTCATGAGAATTGTGAACCATGGGGTAGAGAACTACGGGATTTGTTCGTCAAGACAAGATGCATTTGTACCAAATGGAGATCACCTACTCCCCTCCAGTTTAAATCCAGTTGTCGATACTACCGCACGGAAGAATTGGCTGTATCCCTTACGTCAGATCTCGGCAACTGTCTAGAAATTCCCTGTCATCTGGCTCACAGCCTCGGACATTCCTCTAGCGAACACCAGGAAAGCTTTTATCGTCTTACGAGAGGACCTACCTATTAGATCGGTAACCACGTAAGGCTTCGTCGACCGTCGGTCCCTGCTTGCTTATGATCCAAGTTCTATGTCTTATGGCAGGGTCCCTACAAAATCGCATAATGCCAATCGCCAACTACGTACATCTTGAGGAAATTGCAGCGACCAACTGAAACCATACCATCCAGCCATCCCGAAAGAACTTTCAACTGCCACCCGTCACTACGAGGTACCAGTTGATGAGAGGAACGTCTATCCAATACCACAGCCAGGAGCCGAGGACAGTGTCTTGAGAGGAGAGGAGGCGATTTAACAGAATAAAAAACAGAATAAAAAATACTAATAAGGACAAAAAGACATTACAAGGACTTGGCCCATGCATTCTAATTCTTGGAATTATATACTGAATACACACTCTGTGTCCTACTTTTGTTTCCTGTGTAACCGTCAGTCTGTGTGTTACACTATTGTTGAAAACTCAGTAAGTCAAGAGATAACCTAAAGAGAATATGATAAGTAACAGATTAACTGGAAACTAAAATAATAGTCAATGCTTATCGCAACAGTTAACCAAAACAAGGCATTTTGTAGTCCAGGTTGGCAAAACATTCCAAACCTTTTAGTGCAGATTACAATCTGATCATCTCTTCAATGAGTATAGACTAACAAACAAAAGTCAAAGCATATAATCGCTGAGAAAGCCTGCCGATAATTTAATGACAGTTGGAACTACGCGAAAGCATTTACTTGCACGCACAAGTACACAAATATACATTTATAATCAAAATACTCATTGTATTTGAGTCTTTAGTAAATAAAAAAAAATCTAAACACAATAAAATAACTCCTGGATTACTCACTGTTTCGCTGACATGAAGTTCCGGTATCGTGTGTACCATAGGTATGCTAGCACTTGCATCAGTAATCCTCTCACCTGAACTCCCTCCTTCCCTAAAAACAAATTAAAAGGAGAAATTTTTACTCACCTGCGTAAATTCGCTCCACATTCGGCGCACAAATCCTTCATTACAACATGATGTGTGCATGGAAGGAAGTTAAAGAGAACACATCTAAGATATAGAAAATAAATAGAATTTCGTACCCAGCGGTAACTTTGGCACCTTCATCTTTTATCTTTGTTACCCATCCATAACCCGGGGCTTTAATGTCTATCTTACTGGACATGTCCCCAAGAAGCTCGCAAACAGAAACCGACGGATTGACAAGTTGACGCCGATGTATTCTCCAATGGACGACATTACTCCCAATCACGTTATCAGGAACGCACACAGATTGTATAGCACTGCCAGGAGTAGAAGCCATGGACAGACTGTAGCAAAAGAGAATAACTATATCAAAGAATTTCTAAATTACATTGTCAACACAATCACAAACGTCCAACACTACAAGCAATCTTACAGAACCAATTAACTGACATTTCAGAACCGTTTATAGAACTCAGTTGATATATATATATGTAATACCAATTATAATAATCAGTGTAAGTGTAGTGGTTGAAGTAATTAGGACAGTAAGACAAGAAAGAATGTGATGAAGTAAAACGATGAGCCTATATGTTTACCCATTAATGGTGTATGGAATTTTAAGGAGGTAGGCCGTTTGGACGAAGTCCTTGTGTCGCTGCATGATTGCCCAGCCTTCGTTTAAAGCTATCCATAGACAGTACCGTAGCTACATCTGCCAGTTAGGTGCTCTAGGGACGACAAACCCGTAGTGAAAAGAAGTGGGAACGCGCTCGAGTCTTGATTTTATGGGCAGTAATCAAGTCTCCCCGAAGCCTACGGTAGATAAGTGTGAAGAGACCTAATTTCTTTGGCCGTTCATTATGCGGTTTGTTTCGGTGACCCATCACTCCTTTTCTTGTCAGTCTTTGGACTCCTTCCAAAAGGTCTGTGTCTCTTGTAATTAGTGGGAATGCAATGATACTGTGCACTTCGAGGTGTGGTCCAGGCTTCTGGGGTTTGCCAGGAGTTTTTGGCAAGGTTAGCCTGAAATGATCTCCTGTCACTCCTGACTCTTGTGTTCCACCGGTTCCTGAGTTCCAGGTATGTATCGTGATCGGTCTGCCTCTTGAATATTCGCAACGTAGACCAAGCCTTCTTCTTTGCTTGCAGAATACGCTGAGTACTTCTCTTCGGCTGTGTTGTGACCGAAGGGCCGATATCTCAGGTTGCTGTGTGGATAATCTCTAACCACTTCCCAGTGTTCATCCAGAAGTTCACTCAGCCCATTCTATGGAACATTCTGCGTCGGACAAAAGCCCCCACATTTCAGTATAGTCCTTCTTGTTATAGCACAGACATATTCGCGTAGGGTCCCACTGCAAGTGCTCACAGAGGACAACATCGAATCCTATGACTGCGAGGTCACGACTGCCTAGTGTGCTTATGATCTGAACATTTTTCGGAAATTAGTTGGTCACTGGTTAGAGTATAATCTAGTTTCGATGACTATCCACTAGAGTCCCACCTGCTGTCGTCTCCAACATTCTCAGTCAGTCCGGTAGTTCTAATGGTTTGTAGCAGTAGTAGTAGATGCAGCAGTTGTAGTAGATTTCGACCGAATATTCCCTGTACTTACCCCGAGCCAAAGTTCAGGGATATAGCATTGAAATCTTCAGTTATGGTGATTTGGTCATAGCCCAAGACCCGTATCCCTGTGATGGTGCTAAGCAGTAGCTGTTTGTCCTCTGCCCCACAGGTGGGTGACTAGTCATAGGTTGTACCTTGCTTGGACTAAGGTTTCATCACGATGGTCACCTATTTTGCAACTATATGACTTTGTTGCTTTTCCATTTTGATGATTTGCTTAAGGTGGATGATATATGCCGTATCTATGGTTGATTGGGGAAGTTGTTATAGTTTAACTTCATCACAAAGCGAAGTAATAAAATCAACCACTTTTATTACTACAAAACTTTACCGTCCTTCGCAATTTTAATTGGGAAATCTCTGATATACTCAAACAAGAGTACCGAAGTTTCTCTTAACAAGGGGGGTACACTCTCAACTTATTCCACTTTAACAGAACATTTCAAGCGCACCGAAATTCATGCAGATGTGAAGTAACACACACTTGTACACCTTCATTCAGAACCACTTACAGAATTTAAAATTCCAATCGAAACAGGGTGTTAGTCACAAGGCTGAAAACTTCCATCTACACATTGTAACGTACAATTTTAAAATTCCCTCCTTAGAAGAGCCCACAGTATTGGACTTTGTAGTCCAAACCCTTGGAGATACTCAATCTCAGTTTCAAGACATCAGCAGAAGACATTTGTGCTTCTTTCGTGGGAGAGGTCAATTGTCTCAAACCAAATATCCCAACACAACTGACATCCTTTCTAGTTCTTACTGCTATTGAGGGGAGAGTTTCCGTTTTGCTTACCGCTTGCTGGCCGTAGATTACTTAGCCTCGAAGAAATTGCTAAAATGATGAAGCTCGAAGGGTGGTTACTCATTCTGCATGGCGACCGTACTGCTTATATGTCAAAATTTATTTATAAATCACCTGTTGTCTAAGTCGATCAAAATATTTGGCTCAGCCAAGTTCGTCCTTATCAGCACCAGGACTGATAAACTCAGCAAGCAGTCTCAAAGCACCCCCGAATATCGCTTCCGCTGCCAGCAATCGGTTGTAATTAGTGCTCGCATACCAGGCATTACCAGTTCAGTTAGTGGGGGCAGAGTGAAATGTTAACGGGGCCCTCACTTGTCGGTGGAAGCCACTGGCTTAAAGGTGATATGCTATGTCGCTAAATCCGTGTGATCCAAGAAAATTCGAAAAGTTACTGAAAGGCTCTGACTTGAATTCGTTTATCAGTTGTTATTGTTATACGCATACAAAACATAGCTGCCAAGTGTTGAGGAAACGTCTTTGTTAGGTTTTCCCAACTAACGTCAGGAAGCGGTTTGGTTACGAGGAACCTTGTAAGCTTAGGAATGCATATCAGCAGGTAGGTGGATCCGTTGCAACGCGGCGACGGACTTACCAAGTAGACATGAACATGGACGAAGCGGGTATCTGTTTGCGAGAATGCCAGCAAAGTTGTCTGTTAACTTCCGTTCCCTAGCACGATACACACACCCTCGCACACCGCTAATAATAATAATGTATATTTTCATATGAACATATAAATTTACATGAAAATGCATGCCATCGTGTTGTAGGTGTGACCGAATATATAATATGGGGGGTATTTTGTCTGAAGCTTTTCCTCCAGGGTATGATAGCGAGTGAAAATTAATGAAAATAGAATCATCATAATTTTAGGGATGAAAGGTCTTGATGAATCTTTTGTTTTGTCACAGTTACCATTTACAAAATATGGTAGTCGTTTAAGTATGAGGCAAGAGTTATATTCACTAAGGACGCGATTTCACTCTTAGCTGTCTTTTTCATTTCCGGCCGTTGCTGTGATGTCTACAGCGGTTTATTGCACTGTATTCGCGTGAATTCTGGAAAACGTATCAGTCACACAGTTTTCCGCTCCCTTCAAATGTCTTATATCACCAGCAAACTGTGATATTAAATCAAGGTGAGGAACTTTGCATGTTGAGTATCTGTCCATTTTCATGTTAAGTGCGCGAGAGGCTTGTGATATGTTCAGACTACTTTGGACTCCGTGTGTCGAAAGTGTTAGGCTGCTTAGTCGATTCCCAGAAACTCTCTACCAAAGGTGGAATATCTTGTCAGTGCAGGGCTAAGGCGTTTAAGCAAAACTGCTCTCAGTTTCCAGCCATTGTCAACTGGATGATATAGGTTTGCACCCACAGCTTTACATGATGCATCTACCATTAGTGGAGGAGGTTCATCCGCATCAGTATGTTTTAAGTTTAGAGCCTACACCAGAATATCTGTAGTTGTGCAGTTGCAGTGCTTCTCTCTTCTGACAGCTGGAAGCCTTTTGACTACTCCCTTAATGCATCAGTTAGCGGCTGTGTGCTTTGAAATAATAATGAAGCATCAATAGAGGTTGATCGATCCCGAGACACTCCGAGGCTCCTATATGGTGGCAGAAAAGGCATAACGCGTGATGCTATCCACCACCTTGGACACCAATGTGGCTCCAGTGCTGGCAGTGAAATTCCCCAGGAATTTCATCGTTTGTGCCTCAGAAACACGCTTATTCTGGTTGACTCTCATGTCGTTATATTCTGGTTCGCTCAACAGCACCCAAATACGGTCTTCATGAGTGTTTATATGCGCATTGTTTAAGTTTAAGTCGTCCACATAAACTTTAACGAGTGGCAGTTAACAAAGCAAGTTGTCCATAAATTCTGTATCTCTGAAATGTTTGTGCCACATTATGAGAACCAAATGCCAACAGCACTAATTCATATAATCCGGAAGGGTTTATAATGATTGTCTTAGATATATCTTCCTCAGCCCCCTGGTACTGTGACAGGCATAAGCTGAGTCTGTGTTGATTGAAGCAAGAACAAACACTTTGTGCAGAACAAAGTGGTACCATCATTTATTTCGTTGGCTTTTCATCAGCTGTTCACAGACCAGAGACATTAAGTTTATGAGAAGAGAAAACTTTAATATACACAGATAGTTCATTTTAAAGCAAAAGGTCAATATATGCACACAATGTTGAGGATAATCACTTTGTCCCGAACAGCAATAACCATACACACTGGATTTTTTGACGCCGCGTATCCACATAAAAGACAGCATGAAAATATCCAGTTGCCACGGAAAGGAAAGACCGACAACTGCTTCTTTCTGAAAACATAAACTGGGGTTTAGTCCTCGAGTGGAGATCGCTTCGGCAAACTTGAGCGGAATCGAACGATTTCGTCTATTGATACTTTTGAAGGATTTTGTGATGCCCACCTCATGACCTGCACCAAGAGGGACCGTTTAAATCATTCGTTCCCTGGAATCTTCGGCTTTCTGATACATATTCAGAAAGTCAGAGGCATGCACTTCTTTCTGATCTCCTAATGTAACTGCTCCCGCAAATACATGTAAATATGTGTACACAGTTCGAGTTAGTATGAGAAGGATATCTTTCGATTTTTGATTGCACCAGAGAACATGTTGTCCGATAGACGAGAACCAACTTAGCTGCATGATAGTCTCTGGCTAGTGACATATTCAATCTTGTATTGATTATTCCTGCAATACTATCACTTTTAAAATCGAGTTGAATGAAGATGTGCTGTTTTCCCACTGTTATTTGTTTAGCGTCGCAGCCCTCGCATCTTCCGTACCTTGTGATGAACATCTGAGCGTGACCACCGTTTTTCACCATCTCTTTAAGGATCGGAAGTTCTTCTAATTACTCCGTAGAGCATATTCTCCTGATTCTATAGAACAGAGTTTTCACTAGTGCTCGTTTGTGGCTATGTGGACGGAAAAATGCTAGTACTGCCCATTTCGTGTCGGCTTTCTGCCAAGGAAGTGGAATTTTCCACCATTTACAAGTTCCATAGTAAATTCAATATTCGGATGAACCTCGTTGAATAATCTGAGAAAGTAGGAAGCATGACTTTTATTCTTGTGCACTACAAGTTTGTCTTCTACATGTCGGCAGAAAGAATTCGCTTCATCGATCGCGTGGTTCAGCTCTGATCTTTCAAGGCTGAACATGAAATATCTACTGAAACAGGTCTAAGTGAACCGCCAACAGTTACACCAACTACTGGTGGTAAAAAGTGCTATCAAACTGGAATTGTATATCCCGTGGCGCACATTAGCAGTTGGCGCTTGAATTCCAAATCTGGGAGTGGGAAAAGACCAGAAGACCGCGAAGTGTTCTCGGTAGTTTCATTGGTTCGGGTTATTATTAGCATAACCATTACCATTGTATGCATATATATATATATATATGCTACAATTGCTTAGTTACACAAAATTCTAATTTCTCTGGTGTTTTTACTACGAAGTTTTGGAAATTATTGCAATCCGTTTACTTTCGAACACTAAACCTGTGGATATAATCTTCTTGACTACTAATACCTATGACTAACAGTTCGGAATTTTGTGACTTTTTAACACTAACTTATACCTGTAATTGTATATATTGTTGGATTTATATGTTCAAGTTGTCCCAAGGCAGCGAGTCTACGGTTCTGGTAACATTCAGTTAACTACGCTGAACTGTATTGCATGTTGTTGCCGCTTTTTGCTCTTTTTGCTGTGAATGGTTTACCTTTTGCTGGTGTTGTTCTGATTGTTTTATCCGTTGTTATCCGATTTTAAGGGGAGCAACCCAAAAGGCAGCTTCTCTTTAAACTTTATCTTAATGTAACCATTCCCTCTCAGGTGTGAAGCTAGCAACCCCACCCTGTAAACAAAGTTACTACAGAACCTTCAGCAAAATGAACCTCTTTGCACCAAAAGAAAAAGTCTGTGTGGGGACATGGAACGTCCGCACTATGTATGAGACTGGGAAAGCTGCCCAAATTGCCAACGAGTGTTGGGAATATGTGAAAGCAGATGGAACAGGAATGGACTCACCAAATTGTCAACCGGTGAGTCAGTCATCTACTCCGGTCACCCAGAAGATAATCACACGCACACCGAGGGCGTGGCTAACATGATGTCACCAACGGCAACGAAGGCCTTGGTGCAATGGGAGGCGATCTCATCCAGGATAATGACCGTCAGATTCAACTCCAAAGGAAGGAAAGTGTCAATCATACAATGTTATGCACCCACAAACAACGCAGACCTCGAAAAGAAAGAAGAATTCTACAGACAACTACAGGCAACAATGGACAATACTCCAGCTGGCGATATTAAAATACTAATGGGAGACATGAACGCCAAACTGGGACCAGACAACACAGGAAGGGAACTCATCATGGGCAGAGAAGCTCTCGCAGAAATGAATGAAAATGGAGGAATCTTCGCCGACTTCTGCGCCTTCAACGAACTAGTGATTGATGGCAGCGTATACAAGCACAAAGATATCCACAAGGCTACATGGGTGTCACCAGACGGGCAAACCAAAAACCAAATTGACTTCATCTCAACGGTGCTCAAGGATGTGGAGGCGCAGCCTATTGGACACAAAAGTAAGAAGAGGAGCAGATGTTGGCTCGGACCACTATCTCGTACAAGGGACAATCCAAATCAAATTAAAAGATGCATCAAAGATAGGACTTCAGGTGAACAGAGATAAAACAGAGGTGATGAAGATTCCTGGCCGACATCAACAGCAACAGCCACAACAA